GATACATGTGCGAGAATTTACCGCAGACCCATACAGCGTCCATTTGGAAAGGGACCACCAGCGTACATACCAAAAGTCATGTCAAACCCTTGCCGGCTGTCGTGACAAGCTCATACTCAGATGTCTTAGTCTTGGGTCAACAGGCACAGCTTTCGTCAAGACTCTGTTACCGGTAGCGTGGAGAAGGATCCGATCGACAATGACAATTGTAGTTCGGATCGTGTTGCGGTGAACACTCCAGCCAGCGTACACACCCTCAGGAGCTGCACTGACAGCACCTTTGACAAGACGATAGGTGTGCTCCGTCTTTCGGCGACTCTTACCGCCAGCCCCATGACTGGACGTAATCCGAGGGCAACCATTTGTCCTTAGGTTTACACAAGAATACGAAAATTCTCATGCATGACGTCTGTAACCCTTTCCACGCGATTCACAATGCGCAAGGCCGACACGCGTTAGCTCCCCTAGCGCCCATCGGGCCTCCACACGGGATCCCCCCTCCGCCAAGCCGCAGCGAGCCTCAACCTCACAGGCTCGAGGATGGATGCTTGCCTGGTCTTGAGCCAATCCCACCGGTAAATGTGGTGCCTTTTAGCGGGGCGACCGGGCCGCCGATCTTTGTTGTCTCAGAGGTTCATTCACGATGCCGAGCCTGTTCGTGGTAAGGCGGAGGAACTCCGTCCAAAAACTAGGACCACACCACCCGCTTAATAAGCGGTTGGTCCGGGTGTGATTGGCGTGCCGGATAAGTTTCCGAATATTCCCTGATCATTTCTTTCATTTGGGATGGGCTTTGATGGAGATTTGCGCTCACCATGTCAAGGCTAAGCTCTCTGCCCACTGTCGATCACCATCGGGAGCCCACCTGTCATCGGACAAAACCCATCTCCAACAAGTACTTCTTACTATCAGATACTCAATGTAGCTTTTTTCGCCTTCAAATTGTTGAAAGCACGCACTGGAGCTTAGACCGGAGTTGTCATGAAGTGATCCGCCTGAACCGAGGCTCATCGGTGCTCACACTCTCGAATGTTGCCACTTCATCATGAACAAAAGTAGTCATGACAGTCCTCTAGCCTTCTATTCCTCTAGCCTTCTACTATCTAGATTGAGTTTTCTCTGCCCTGCGGGGAACGCTTCCAGATTGCGGCACGGTTAAGGTTTCCTTGATCGACGCATCTGCCGAAGGGGCAGCCAGGCCAGGGGGCTGAGTAAGAACCCCACCTAAGCTATGGATCACCCCCCACCTCGGATCACTACTTTTACATGCTTTTAACCTACTAATACTGTGATTATATTTTTACGTTCTATATAATTTCTCTATAGTTTTATAATAATATATAATTTTATACTCTCTTTATTATTAAAAGATTTATTATTAATTAATACTATTTCTAACTTAGTAAGATAGTTTTATACTTCTTATTTCTTCTTCTAAATATTTTTAATTACTATAAAGTATATATTTAGTTTTAGTTTAATTTTACTATATTTAATAAACTTATATTTCTCTAGCTAAATTTCTAGAGATTAGATAACTTATTAATTATCTATTATAGCTATATTATTAAAGTCTAAAGTTTTCCCTAACTTCTTAAAAAAAAGGATTTATACTATAAAGTTAATAAGATAATCTCTTTATACTATTAACCTTAACTTATTACTAAAAAGCTATTATATTTAATATAAATTAGCTAAGTTTTTTAATATTTTAATTATAATATTTTAAGAAGTCTATTTATTATTTATAAATCTTAAATATTATATTAATATTTATAGAATATTAATTAGAGTAGGAGTATAAATAAACTAACTTATAAGAAGCTTTATAATATTAATAAGTTATATTTTTATTACTTTCTATCTTAATTTAATAATATATAGTTATAAAGTATCCTAATATATATATAAATAATATTATAAGAAGTTCTATTTATTAATTAGTATAAAGTTAAGTAAGTAGTTTTATTCTATAAAATAGGTTTTATAAAACTATTTTAGAAGTATAAATATTAATATATTAAGGAGCTATATAATATAAAATAAATAAATAAGTAAGTAAGCTAAATAAATATTATTAATATAATATTTTTATATAAAGTTATTACTAATATAGTTTCTATAGCTATCTATAATAAATAGATATTTAAAATATAATCTTTTTACTTCTATTACTATCTTTAATATAAATATATTCTCTAGTTAGTTAATACTAATATTATTAAATATTTAACTATTTATAGTTAATATAAAGTACTATAAGTTAAATTCTAAGAAATCCTTAGAGAACTATTAGTACTAAACTATCTTACTTTTAAAGATAACTAAAAGTAAAAAATAACTACTATTAGTATTAATATATTTAACTATAGATATCTAAATATAATTATTAGAACTTTAAATAAATATAAAAAGTTTCTTAGAATATCTTAATACTAAATTATTATATTAAACTCCCTCTATAATACTTATCTTATTTATATTATATTATAAGTTTATAAGAATAATCTTAATTTCTAGAAGATTAAGTATTATAAAGAACTTTTTTATATTTTTAATTATAATATCTTTTATATATTAAGTATTAATCTTATATACTTTTAGAGTTTTAATAAATAAATAATAATATAAAAAAGCTTCTATTTAGTATATATTAAGAGGATATATATTACTACTAGTATATATAATCTATATTATAAAGAGATAGATATACTTATAGTTAAGTATATAGCTTAAAGTACTTTATATAAGGATCTAAGTAGTTAGAAAAGCTTCTTATTTAGAGCTAAAATATTACTAAATAGCTTTTATTTTTATTATTATCTTATTACTATTAATATATTATTATAAAGTTATATATAGTATACTTTAGTTTTTAGTAGCTTTTTAGAGAGAGTAGCTATTATATATAGCTATAATTACTATAGTAATATTAGTAGGGGTATATAAAAGTATAAGATATATATTAGTATTTTTAAAAGAATTTATTTTATACGTTATAGCGTTAAAAAAGTAGTATTAACTAGGATAATATATAATGTGAAGTATATAGAAGATATGTTTTTGGGCTGATCTAAGGTGGGGGGTGATCTATAGCTTAGGTGGGGTTCTTACTTCGGAGAAATCCCACCTCTCGCAACCATGTTTGCTTGGCAACTTTCATCCCGATCGCACGAACTCTTCAATACGGATACGTGCACGAGTCGTCTCAAGCCTGGAGGACGCAGATGACAGGAAACGCAGTCGGCGCACGGGATAGTTCATCAGCCCGTGAGACAAGACGATCCAACGGCCAGCGAGATATCCATGCCCCCAAAATACTTAGTTACTTTGCGTGGGTGAATACTCAAGACCAAGGTATCATGGACCGATGAAACTCCGCTCGTCATTTGCTTGGCCGAATTGTCTCAAAGATGGTTATGACTACTAGGTATGGAGAAGACAGAATCCAATATGTTCCGAGATAGGCCATACGTTTGACGTCTTTGATGGCCTTCGCGGTCTGAATAGATGCCCGAGTATCATGTGCTCTCATTGGTCAACTCAGCCCCCAGGTCATTCTATTCGACTTCCCAAGGACCGGCCAAATGCTCAAGGCGGCTATCCTCGGGTTCTCCTTTGCGGTACTACTGGCCCAGGAATTTTGAAATCATTCATTGGACGATGCCAAACATACGGATAATTGAATAGGTCAGCCACATGTTCCAGTTTGGAACCCAAGCATTAGAGCTCCCTGGACGAATGCGGTACGGCTGGAGGCACGGGAACGCTAGAACAGACAATGTCTCAGGCTCTGGAGGCGGCAGCCGGTAGCCACATGGACCAGGCCGCTCAATGTCAGTTCACCAGGTCTCAGTTTTGCCCTTGGGTGCTGACGACAGAAGCCGCGGGAATTGCATCTTCTCAAAACGGGCGTCGATTAATCCAGCATTCTTGTACCTTCGTAGTCTGAAGAATGCGTGTCGAAAAGCTTGACGTAAAGGGGTCAGGGTCTTTGCCTTTCTCATTCCAGCAATGTTGCTCATCACTCAAACTTGCTCGTCGCTTGCCTCGATGAAGATGCCGTTTCAGCCACGGAGTCGTCATGGCATCAAGAATTTTACCTCGCTTCTTGTCGTCGGCGTGTGAAATATGTCGGATCTGCGGGTAATCCCGTCGCGGATAGAATTCCAGCGCAGGATACCCTATGCTCTAAACGAGGCGTACCCGTGGTCGATGTCTTGAACCCTTCAATTAACCCCCATTCCACAGAATGACATGATAATCCGGTTCGAAGCCACGGGTTTCTCAACGCATCTTCATTCGTCGCAATTGCGCGACCTTTTAGGGTTAGAATGTTCGGGAACAGGGACTAGAGGCGGTAGCTGGAGACGGGCCGCGTGTGTGATTTCTCTCCGCGTGCAAACGGGGTACATTTGCTTGGAAGAAAGCCCACTTCGTGGATGCAAGCCAGTGGCTGCAGTCCAGACTACAAGTTCTGCCTTGAATCGGGACTGGCGGAACAGAAGGCGCTCTATTCCCCCCATTCGGTTGCGATTTGCCGTCCAGAATATCGTATGAGGCGATCCTTCATTTCAACCACGGGGAGATAGCGATTTCATGATCACGGACCCATTCCTGGGACCAAAACATTCAAAATGTGGCTGGCTGAAATACCAGTCGAACACACCTCCCTCGCCGGATTGCAATGTTTGGGCGTCCTGTCATTCGCATTCTCTGACTGAGGCGCCATTGAGGTGAGTTTTGACGAATTCAGCAACATTGGTTTCTGTGGTTTGTCAGCCCGAGAGGCCATCGATAGCTTCTTCTCACTCGTACTTATTCTGAAGACAGACCCTCTCTTTCTCCTTTCATACCTATCCTATAAGAAGCAGACTTGTATCCGCATCAAAAGCTCTACCATGACACTCATCGACTCAATCACAAGCTTACCTTTCCGCAAACCTGCTCAAAGCCCCCAAGAACCTTCACTTTCGTTGACATCAACCTCATCTGACACCATGGCCTTCCTCGTTCCCGTTAAGGAGTCTGACATTTCCATCGTCTACGACTCCAACCACCGCAAGCTCGTTTTCGGGGCCAAGGGCGAGATCCCCAAGGTCTGGTTCAACCCTTTCTTCCAGCAGGAGGCTCTCGTCGGCGGCCTTGGCTTCTCCATCCGCGACTTCGCCGGTGGCGTTCCTGCTCAGAAGGGCGAGAAGTCTTTTGATATCTCGCTTGACTTCCCGATCAACCTGCCCCTGCAGCACTTCAACAACAATAGTGTCCTGATCGAGACCGCCAACGGCAGTTTCCCCATCAAGATCAAGTACACCGGCTTCGCGCCAGGCCCCGTCATCACCGGCGGCAAGGACGGCGAGACAGAGGGTACCACCACCCGAAGCGTCCTGCCTCCGATTACGAACTTCCTCCCTGCCCCTGAGCATGTGTTGCGCATCACTGCGCAGATTCCCAGGGTTGAGGCGCCCGCTACCGTTGAGGTCAAACCTTCCTACAACCGTGTTTTCCTCGAGTTGGTTGATACTACGGCCCAGCTGGGAAGCATTTCCTGGACCTTCAAATGGAGAGAGCTTCCCACTGCCGAGGGCACAAACCCCCAGCTGATCGACATCACCACCCACACCTACAACGGACTCGTCGGCCATGCCGCCCACAACTCCTACGTCATTCAGGGCCACATTGTCCACTTCGTCGTTTTCGAAAAGAAGTAAGGATAGCCGCATCCGACCTCTGAGTGGCTTTTTCAATGGAATTCACATGTCTACTTAGGGGTACCAATGTAGTTCGTGGCGGAGATGTCGTCGAAGGCGGTTGGCACGTGGTGTGAACCTGAAGTGGATCTTAGCTCTTATTCTATAAGTTGGACTCCAACTTGGATCTCGTTATCTATATCAATACATTTCTTTTGTGACAGCCTTTCACTGCTGAGTACCGTCGTCGGCCAGGTACCATGCACTTTGAGACATTCCATCGCGAGGCACATGTTCTGCATGTCATGATCATTCAAGGTTCGGCCCGGATCTGGCAGGATACCTAGGTAGTTTTGCCGGTATCGGGGTTTCGAATCTTCAGCGATCTGATTAGTAAAATGAAAACTCCCAAATGATTAGCTCAGGGTCCTAATGGGCCTTTATCTTGTTCATTTCGGCACTCTCGCGGATTATTAGTAGTCTGTGGTTTTTACTTATTATTGTTTCTACCAAAACGGACTTTATCAAAAACGGCCACCTGCCTCTAGTCTGAGACTGTAAACCTTAAGCTTAGGCCCGCATACTCTGGGTCTGCATTGAACGCAAACCCTCTCGAGCCTCCCCACACAGTGACCTCTGTGATTTTCTTGTTGCCAAGGGCGGCCTTGTGTTGTATAAGGAACAACGCTGCACCAGCACCATGGGTGCTACCAAGGATAGCAAGGCCCTCGTCTGTGTCCATCGAGAGTATTACCCTGTCATTCCATCCGGGTACGAACTGATGTCCCTTGTTATACAAAGCCTGCAAGACAACATTGAAGCTAGGGCGGTAGGTGACATTGCTGCGGTAGATGAGCTTGACGTTGCTCGGGGGGATGCCCTTCGCCTGGCAAGCATCGAGCCACTGGAAGTAAGCCATGTCAGACAGCTGCTCCAGATCAGGAACATCCCCAATGCCGTTCTTCTCTATTTGGAAGCGAGGGCTGAAGTTTCTGTCAAAAATGATAGCGCCCGATCTTGGGTTGAGGACGTTTTGGTAAGAAGCACCCGTTGCCTGTAGGGGGGACGAAGGGCATTAGAGGACTAGAGTTTTAGATGGCCAAGTTCGGTGGGCAGTCACTTACAGCTCCAACACTAGTACCGTCACGCTTGTAGAAGTTATTCGCGTGCATGTAAGTGGACAGCCCATTCTCTGCCGGGTCGACTGGATAACGTGGGTCCGCGAATGTGACATCCAAAAGGTTTCCGAACCCGGGAGACGTGTCGAACTCTTCGTAATCGTCGGAGTCGGAGTCGAAGCCGGAGTCAGAGCCGGTGTCCTCGGTGCTAAAGGGGGCCCAGGTCATCTGGCGAGTCCATCCCCAGCGTTCAACGGCCCTGGGATCCTGCCACGGCGTGGCGACAGTGACCCCGCTGTTCTGCTGCTTTGCCGCCGAGTCGCTGAGTGGAAAAAGTGACTTGAGGTAGGCTCCCTTCTGAACGCGACCATTGTAGTTGCTAGGGAAGTCTGGGAATTGTCCCTGTACTCGCTTGCTGAGAGGCTCGCGCAAGGAGTTGATGTTATTTGTGCTTTCGCCGCCCGTTGTTGGGGTGGGAGAAGCACTGATAATGGTCGCTTGGATGAAAAGGAGTGACAGCAGAAAGCGGAGGCCCTTGGGACCGAGGGAACCAACGGTGCTAACCATTTTGATTTGTTATCGTTGATCGCGTGGCAAAGAAAGGAGCAGGAGGAGAGGGTATGCACTCGAATTTGAATAGAGCGGGTCGGTACCTCTTGTAGGTGATGGAGATCCCATTGCATTCAGATTCGCCGGTCAAGGCGACCAACAGAAAACTCCGAAAGGGATGCGAAATTAAGGATTGCGATTAACCTTTCGAGACTTTCTGCTCCAGCGATGAACAAACTGGTGTTCGTCCCCGGCGGCGCCGCGGGATCCACCTTACGACGGAATTGCCTAGTGGCCAGTGTGCAACTCACTCATTCGGCATCTATTAATAGGCCGTTCATCCAAAGAGCGATAAAAGCCAGTCGCACAACTTTGCGCGCATACATCGACAATTTACTCGGGTTTTCGTTTTTGCCAAGCTATGGTCAATAGATGAATGCAGACACAAGTGAAATTGCAGAGAGCAGACACATGAGTGAACTTATTTCTTCATTATGCACCATAGATGAATTAGCTGACCCACCATCCCGGCTATGCCAACCGATCAAACTTAAAAAGATTACTGCGGTCAAAGTGGCAGGACTACTCCGAGCCCTCTGGTGCACCTGGTTCAACAGATCTATCGTGATCACTTTGGGTATATATTCACTCGCCCGGAGATTTTGTTCCAACATTGCCCCTGGCGGAATAGTTCTTATCTTCATTCACTTCACCTTCCACAGACGCCATGATTTTGAGAGCTCAGTACCTCCTCACAGTATGCCTTTTCTTTTCAGAGGCTGCCGTGTCAGCTATCCTACCTCGCGACGGCGATGATTACGCCGGGCATCCGGAGGTGAACCATGACCAAGTAGCAGCATTCAAACAAGACTCTTCCCCCGGAATAGACGGACGCCTCGAACTCATGTTCAACCCTCTGCTCGTCGTCACAGGAGGTTGCGACCCGTATCCTGCAGTCGATGCCAACGGAGGTCTTGGGTAAGGAAATTCAATTCACCATTTCATAGTAGATCAATAGCTGATGGCATCTCGTAGGAGTGGCTTGAGACCAACTGGTGGTGGAAGGTCAGGCTGCGGTGATGGCGGCACTGGTCAGGTCTATGCTCGCCGCGGCAGTAGTCACGGCCGTGACGCTATTATTTACAGCTACTACTTCCCAAAAGTCCGATGGGGCAAAGGCGACAACAAGGGACATCGTCATTACTGGGCTAGTATTGTCATTTGGATCAACCAATGGAGCTGTGATACCGAGAAGCCCTCATCATACCGACCAGTAGGGATGTCATACACAACCGACCACGCAACATGGGGCTTCGAACCTATTACCGGTGGCCTGACATCCACAGCCTCTCCCGAGAGTTCTTCGCCGACGAGTTTCATTGTCCAAATCCACGACAACGCCATGACACCATTTAAAGACGCCGATATTGCCGCGGCTTCTCAGCGCACACTGATCTCTTGGATGTCACTACCCGTAAAGGCGCGTGAGGCGTTAACTGACGTCAAGTACGAAAAGACCACAGTGCCGTTCACCGACGCCAACATCCAGACCTCTTTAGACACTGCCTACCAAGAGAGCTTTTACACAGGGTTAAAGGACGGACAGGACTGCAACACCACTATCCCAGACAGTGATGGAGCTGACTTAGATCCTGACGAAAATCCTGAAGATAAAGACCCAGAGGCAATCCCTCTGCCCCCTGTGGCTGTTTAGTTATGCGCATCAAAATAAAAGCATCACGCATCTTTTCCGTTTTATAGCTTTCTTATCTCAACTTTGGATGCGCCTAAATGGATCACCACGATTATTGCGGAATAACCTACACATCATTTGGTCTCAAATGTGTAGAAGAAAGGACCGAGATAGCTAAAGCTATACTGCGTATCTTTATTTAATCTGGCTGGGTTTCGAATGCGGATACTATCAATGGTATTTGCACACCGGAGAAACCAGCCCTCATCATCTTCGTGATTTCACTGCATTCATAGAAAGCTCCACGTTGATAAGGTATGAATATCAAACTAGCATCATATCTACTGAAATCAGAGGGGGCAGTTATCCAAGGGAGTCAACATCAGTTCAGCCACTCATATGTTATGTTTCAGCAGCCTATTTACTGATCTCCTACACAGCGACTTTATTGGTGGCCGTCTGGAAGCAAAGCGGGCGCTAATGACATATCCCCAAACAGAGAACTGTAGATCACCTAATATTGCAATTGATTATGTTTCTCTGTCATTCGGTTCTTACCGCAGAATCTCATTCAACTGGCAAAGAGAATCCTGTAGGAAACCAGTTAGAACGGCCATTTCTCCATCGTGCTCGGTCTTGTTGTCAGCGCCGTCGTCACCACTATCGTTACGGTTATCAATGATGTCCTCTACAGTTACAATGATTCATGATGATCCGTCATCGAAGTAAAGCTTCAAATCCATGCTCATCAAGCACACAGAGACAATAGCCACCTGAGACAAGGAAATCAGGCTGTCGCCTACTTAGTATGGTTCGTTAGACACCCTGAACCTATCCGCTTTTCCCCCGTCCAGCCGTAAATTTAGAAATTCTTTAGCCCAATCGGATTTATGCACGGATGTATGACCAGGCAATACTTTTCGCCAAGGCATGCCGTGTTACCACACTCTCGCCGAACTGTTTGCCGCATTTAATCGTGGCGGCTTACTTGCAGACAAAAAAGGCAGCGCAAGATAGCAATGGTTCCATATTTAATTTGGGGTCAATGGGGGCATAAAACTTGGGGTTCAACCCACATCCCCTGAGATACATTCTCAACCTCGTAATCTGTTTTGATCTCGTTGTCTATTTTCATTCAAAAGACCTATGAATTGGCTGTCTCTTCTTATAACAATGGCATTATCTAATAATCCACCGATATTGTCCTTCCCAAAGACAGAAATTCCGGGCTGGTTGTTCTTCTTCATCTTCGTAACATTGGCTTCAGTTCGAGCCAAAGCAGCCTCCGCAGACTCTGATGCCGACGATGCTTTGTCAGATTTCACCAACGACCTGTTCACGGATCTGGGTCCTCTTTTGGCTCTCTTTGGCGAGCAAATGACGAAGCAATACATTAGCGAAAGCACAACCTTTTACGACTATTTCATCTTTGGCATGGGTCCCATTGGTATTATTACGACCATCGTGTCTACTATCCGGCTTTGTGGTCCCACATCTCTTCGTGCCTTTATCGGAAGGTCGCAGGAGGGAAATAGTGCGGTCGAAGCCGAGCTTTGTACATCGACGAGTCGTGACGTGTGCGAGGTTTTCAACAATGGCGGTATTACTCGTGTTCTCGGCCGACCTAAAATTCTCGAGCTCATTCGTACGCCAAAGAATTATACCCCAATGAAAGAAGATGTCGATTCAATTGATCGTAAAGTCGGCTTGTATTCGTTTCGACACTTTTTGCAACAGTCCGAGGCTGAAGAAACAACAGAGTGGAGACTTGAACGACGTGAACAGCTTGGTCCGGCTTCGCAAAATCCACCCAATCTGTCGCTCAATGTCGGCATTACTCCGCATCGCCCGTGGGTCTTCAATCTTGTTGCCCTAGTTGGATTTGCTCTTCAAGCTGGCGTGCTTGTAGTTGCGGGGGTTGGCGTTCGGACATTGGGCTTGGACTTGAACAAGAGCAATCTTGCTTCGACGACTTATGCGCCAAACATGTTTATTATCGGTACAATATTGATGTGTGGAGGGATGGGCGCATGCATCACTATCATTGGTCAAGCTACAACGGAGGTTCGTTGCAGACGCACACCCTCTGTTACTGGCTCTCCCAGAACGTCTATTATCTGGCTACAACCTCGACAAGTCATAGCCGACCAAAGCTTGGACCCATATGTTTTCATTGAAGACGACGGAAAGCGACTCTCGTCTTGGACATCTTCCACGAAGAGTTGGGACTTGGTTACTGGAAGCGAATTCAAATTCAAATTAGCGACATGTGTTGCAGTTGCAGCAGTCCTCGTGGGGTACATCCTGCAATTCATTGGGTTGAGGGGCATGAGAGCTTGGGTATCAATTGCGCAATTGATTACAACCGTTGTCATGAGCATCTTGCGCGGGGTACTCCGAATGCAACGACTTAAAAAGGACGACAATGAATTGTTCAAGAAGGCAGAGATAGTTCCAGGACACGAGCTCGACTGGCTGGCTATTGAACTATGTCGGCGTGACAGTCTGACCGAGACGACCCAGTTGAAGACGCCTCGTTCAACCCTCCAAGTGAGTTTTATGATGCATCGTCACTGCAATGTTGATGGTGGGGGTTACTAAAGCAACCTAGCAGGAAATGAAATCTTATCTAGCTACTCGTTCCGATGCAACAGTATTAATAAGCTATTACGACTTGATGGCTCTTAGGATCTGTCTTGCTGGAATTACAGGACATCTTTCTACGCATGCGACACTCCCCCAATCAAGCCAGTCAACGCCCCAGTGGGGAGCCGAGTTTGTCAAAGTTCGTGACAAGGCGAAGGAGCTGGCGGCTGCACTAGACCAGATTATAGTTCTGATGTGCCTAAGAGAAGGGAAAAGACTATGTTTCAATTTGCCAGGCGTTCAATTCTGTCGACCAGAAGGTATAGAAGGCTTCGAACACGACGAAGGTTTCGAAATCCACGTCAATCCACCGGGGATCCAATCTCCATCCAAGCACAGGATTGATTATGTGGAAATTGAGGCAATTTTGGGCCTTTCCTTGTGGTCTCTGATCTCCGATCGCCGGGTGCTGTACTCTGAAGTAGGTTCTCAGCTTGATTCCTCCCGAGCTGAAGACGTGCAGACGAAGAGAATCATATCAGCCGGCCCGGATTCGCTAAAAGTGAATGCAGAGCTGGAGTTGACCTGCTGGAGGGAAATTCCCAAAGACCCATATTGGGAGACTCCCCTGCATTATTTTGAAGAAGTGCCAATTCCGCTAGGAACAAACCCCCACAGCTTCAGTCTTGGAAGTTTGTGGAGAGAAGATCGGGGTCGTGCAGCATCCAACGGACCTTTGACAAAGCATCGCTTGGAGGAGGTGCCGGAGTACAATGTGGGTACTGCAGGATCTCTGGGACATTTACCTACAACGCGATTGTGTGGCTGGACGTGTTTATTGGAAGCGCAGAAAGACATACAGTCGACCAAGCAATTGTGTCCTGCAAAAGCATACGGCCCCGCAAAAGAGCTTCCGAAAACGATTTGGGTTCAACTCACTAGAACAAACTCATCTCTCCTGGATATTTGCGCCCAAGAACTCTTCGGGGCTTTCGTAGCTCGACTGCAGATGCAGGTATATTACCAAGGTAATCGCGCATCGACACAGGCAAGACTTGATCTTGAACTTTCAGAGGAAAGGATCGAGATGATCAAAGCTATGTCGCAAATTTTTGTAGACTGTCACTTGGGTTCCGATGTGGATGCACTTAGTTGCATACTTCCGGCTCTTGAAAGTCGTCGAATTGGTGACCGCAACCGCATTATTTCTATGATTTCATCAACTTGCAACTCATCTCTTGAGAGATTCGACTTAGGAGGAGCTATAAAGGTATTCAGATATGCAACTGAAGCACTTCGCTATCGAGAAACCTGAGAGGAAGTGCTATTCTTTGCACGGATTCTTTGTATAGTGTCGAAGGCCCACAGGTTTTCGGTACGCATTGCGCATAGCTCTGAAAAGGTTTGGTCTCGTGAATCTCTTTTTACCGACTACTGGCAAAATATGCTTTGCAATCCCGACCCAAAGGATCTCCCAGAGTTCAAGGTTGGTGAACTTTGCGGTATTCATTTACGCCTTCGGAAATGGCGAGAAGACAACGAAGACGACAGAAGGGTTGTCTGTGACACAATGCTGAAAGGACTTCAGACGAAAGATAGAGCCGCAACACTTTATCGCTTGTGTTTTCTCACGAGAGGCTTTCTGAACACGTTCTCAGCCCAAGAGAATCTCTCTCTTAGTGCAGCACTCCCACTGGCTGCGAGACAAGGCTGGTTCGAAGCTGTGGATGCGCTGCTGGATATAGGGGTCGATCCACTTGCTGAAGACGAGGCCGGAAGAACTGCACTCAGTTACTGCGCTGAAAATGCTCGATTTCAACATGAGATCTGCGCAGAAATCATTCTGGGCTATGGAATCGCGTTAGAAGCACTAAAGTCTACGTCCTGGTCTGCCGATGACGGGCGTACTCCGCTCTTGTGGGCAGTCACTCATGGGAACGACGAAATGGTGAGAATACTCCTGGAAAGGGGCTTTCCTGTCGTTCAACAAGGCTCCGGGAACGTATCACCTTTAACGGAGGCACTTTCAAGGGGTTTCGAAGGCATTGCCCTGCAGCTCCTCGATGCAGGAACCGAGCTTTGCAGGGAGCATCTTGCCTTGGCAAAACTCGACAATCCTCTGCAAAGTCTGGCCGCGGCTTGTTTGAGAGCACAGATCAGAGAGTTACGAGAGCATTGGTTTCAGCAGATGTTGGAAATCATCGCAGACAACGACTCTGATGCTCTTCAGCTACTACTCGATCTCGGCGTCCAGGTTGAATTTTGTCACATTGTACTGGCCATCAGAACAGGGCATCACGAGGTCAGGAAGCTATTTCTCGATGGGTTTCCGGGCTGGGTGACTGCAAATCGAGACTGGGCAGCATATTGTATGAGAAAATTGGAGGAAAACAATGACCACGATATCATGCAGATACGGCTTGATCACGGAGGTGCAGAAGTCTGGGATGGCACTAAACATAGGCTTTCTCTTGAGTCTTCCATACCTATCTCGAGCTCTGAGGAGACTTAGGAGGCGAACAGAGAGCTATGGTCTAGAGCCTTTGAAACTTTTCGGCGTCGAGTTTTCTTCAACATAGAGTTACATTATGGTTTCCTGCATTGTCGATTAAGATTTGTCACCGGCTGACTGTTATTGCCGCTCAATTTTTACTCATAATCATATTGCTGCTCCTTGACCGGCAACAGAAACGCGTATCACTAGATCGAAACGATGAGGGGGAAAGGATTTACTTTGCGAAGATTTGGTGCAGCTCCGTCTGCTGGCTTTGCTGCTTGAATATTTTTGTGCGTATCTTGGCTCGCTGACGCCTATTGCGCGTAAAGGGCGTGCCCTCATGGAACATTGTCATCACAACACCCTCCGCGCCTTCAAAACACCACCACCCAGGCATCCCACCCCCAAAACCGCACATCACCAAAACCTCAGGCACGCCTACCTCCTTCACCGCTAGAATGCGTCACTCATTCCGCGGTCAATGACTGATACCACTCCTCCCGGCGTCCGGCCCCCGAGCAGTGTGGGTGGGTGGATCCGGTAACACACCGGCGGCGGGCCAATCCCGAAGGCCTCTCTGCGCGCCACGGGACCGTCCTTCACCCTCGGTGCGTGTGGAGAAGACCTGCGTGTGCCTCCCCTCTTGTCTTGGTTCTCCAAATCTTCCTTGGCCGAGGGCAGCTGTTCCAAGACATTGGAGTCGTCGACGAGCGATACGACATGAAAAAACACACCTCCAACCAGTCTACCCATCTTCATCCCACCGAACCACACCGAGCCCTCCCCCAACCATCCCAACCGTCACGACTCACACCGGCCACCACCAGCGCCATCACTAGTGTTGCGTCCTCAGGCCCGTCCCGCATCACAAACAAGGATCCTCCCTTCCCCTCTTCCTACCCCAACCCAGGCTGCCTATTCCATCGACGCAAAGCGCAGGCATCAACCTCGCCAAAACGCCACGGATGATTTGCGACGGCGCGAGATGAGTCGATCGCGTTAGGTAGCGAAATCGCAAGCACGTCAAATGCTAGGTCCCGACGTCGCGCGGGAAGAAGTACAGCACCAGGCAACAATCCCCATCCTCCAAATCATCACCCCGCCGTGCTCACGAAGTACCCCGCGCCTATCGATAAGCAAAGCCCCTCCCTAAGCAATTCCCCCCTCTGAAGACCGCCCAAAAATCGAGAAACGCGATATCCTCCCAAATCCCAAATCCCACACTGCCGAGGCCCGTCACCACCTCGCGAATCTTCAAAGTCCCCTTCGCTTAAGCCCTCAAAACTGAAATGTGGTGTCCTGACTCACCCGGCCACCACCACATCCCCAAATCTTCAGACGAACGAACAGTAAAACGCCACGGATACGGGGGTTGTGTCTCGAGGTCCAGAGACCAGGGGGAGGCAGGTGAGACATGCATAGCCAAGCGATCACAAGGACCGTTTTTGTATATCAACAATACAGAAGATTTTCGTAGAATGTCACCGAATCGCGAGAATGGGGCTGTCTTTTTTGTTTGAATCATCTTGTTTTTTTGCTGGTTTGTTTGTGTGATTCTATGTATGCTGTCCAATTGCTGTGGTATCATCCCATCGCTGCCCCGGCGATCATCCCTCCCCGACAAGTCCTGTTACCCTGCCCGAGGTGTAAACCAAGAAAAAAAGACCAAATGGTGGCAGAACGCTTGCTATCTATACATGTGCATAATAATATCAGACGCGCAAAGATCTCTAAACAGAAAAGGCATTTGCGTGGTAAATATGACAGGACCGTTTACTCCCAACGGTACAGACCATCATCGTAGAGGACCCGGTGGCGCCGGCTGCCGGGACCCACAGTGGCCCTCCGGCGAGGCATCATTCGCTCCATCAAGCGGCGGCGCTGGGCCTCGTCCTCCTCCTCGCGCTCGCGCTGCTCGCGGGCACGACGCTCAGCAGCGAGGCGCTCGTTGATCTCCAACCGGCGGACAGCGTCAACAAGTTCCTGGTCCGAAGACAAGGTAACGTTGGCGTAGCCGGTCGAGGAGCGCTTGAACGGGGCAGGAGGAACGGGGACGGCCGGGCGGCGGGAGATCTTCTCGTTCTGGGCATCGATGCGCTCGAGAATGCGCTGCCTTCGCTCCGCCTCCTCGGCCGCACGCTCACGCTCCTCGCGATCCTCACGTTCCTTGCGCTCCTTATCTTTACGTCGGCGTCGGCGCTCCTCGTCCTCAGCGCTGGAGTGGCTGTGCTTAGAGTCCTGAGAGCGATGGCGGCGGTGGCCGCCGTCGATAACCTCAATCTCAACCTTGGGAGGGCGCGGGCGCTCGTCTACAATGACAGGGCGGAGATTGTGGGAGCCGCGAGGGACGTGGCTGTAGCGGAAGTGAGGCTCGTCGCCAGCGTTGGGGGAGGGCGGCGCGGTGTAAGGCGTGGAGAATTGCTTGGGTGGTGTGCGCGGGGTGGGAGGAGAGTCGACAATCACAATGCGCTCGGCACGAGAGCGGTTCTTGCGGTTCAAGTCGAGGACCCTCTGGCCGTTGACGTAGATACCCGATGCCCGGCGCTTCCTGTCGCTGGAGGAGGAGCTGGTGCGGGGCCGGGGAGACTCGGCAGATTGGCCGCGAGGTGAGGACATTGGCGGCGAGGGAGGCAGTTGCTGAGGGTATTGAGCAGGGTAGCCAGCCATTTGTGTGGGATAGCCGACGGAGCGGGGCGGGTGGTTGTAGACGACTGGGTTGCCGCAGAGGCGGCCGTTGCGAGAGTGGGAGCAGAGATTCGGTGTTTGGTACTCGCTGCGACGGCCGTCTGGGTAGACGTCGGTGTAGACGTCTGTGGTGCACATGGTGGTGTCTGGTTGGAACGTATGAGTGCGCGGCGTGCGCTGGGGTGGTGCCGGTTGGACGATCTCTGGAGCAAAGCGAACTCGCTTCTCGGTGGTCGTCAACGTGGAAGATTGTTGGGGTGCGCTCCGAGTATTGGCGGAGCGACGAGACTTGTGCTTCAACACGATGGTGTTGTCAAGGTAGAGAGCTTCGGGAGCACGAGTGGAGGACAATGTGTCGGTGCCAACAGGCTGTATTGAAGACCGAGTGTTGTTGGTTGGAGGTTGTCTGAGTAGTAAAAGTGTAAGTTGGTTGGTGCTTCAAGATGTTATGCAGGTGATTGTTAGAGAATTAAATACCGGATGACTGAGGTCGAAGACGAGAAAGCAGAGGCTGAAAAGTATCTGCCTAAGTTTAGACGGGTGCGGGTGGATCGACAGGGCCGGGATAGATTGGGGTAGCGTTCTTCGTCTATGTGGGAAAGAATCAAAGTGTAAAAACGTTTGGGTGGATAGTTCGAGTAAAGTAGAACAGCGTGGTCTGGGGAGAAACCGTGTCTGAATTATATCGCGTTCCAAGGTGAGTACGAGCAGGGGGGGCCAAAAGTCGAAAGTCGACGAAGTACGCCGCAGCAGCAGCCACGATGGCAGCGGACGGAGGTACCGCAGGAAGAAACAGCAGCTAGAGACGCAAGTCGTGGGATGGTGGAGATTGAGGCCTTGTAGGCCTTACAAGGTGTAATGCGCCTGCGATGCATGCCACCATGATCCAGCCCCTGCCTGCGTCTGCCTGAACGAGTGGCCGATGAGTCTTCACTAGACCCTTTTCGTACGACTGGGGGTCTCTGTTCGGGAGGGGGAGTCGTTGGAGGGTGTTTCTCTTTGTCTCTCGCACGTTTTGCAACGCCGCGCAGTACTTCTCTCTGGCGATTCACAGCCTTCGCAGCTGGGAGGCCTAGGGGCTCAGCACCGACCAACTGACTTTGGTGGAGGGCGCAGGGGGTGCCCGTAAGCTGCCAATGCGAAGAAGGATGGAGGGAACCAAGGACTCCGGAATGGTTGACAGCTCTCGCGGGACCCCGCTCCGTGTGTCTTTTGAGTCCCAGTTGTATTGGCCTTGCATATGAGGATTTGTGGGTGTGGTCGTGTTCGTCGAGATGTACGTCGCGTTGAGAATCTTGGTGGTGTGTGTGTCTCTGGCTGATGTGGTGATGGTTCACCGCACAATGGCGACAGAACCGACTGGCTGGACGCCGGCGCGGTCTCTCGTCAGGCCTGGCTGGCCAGGACCGGCCACCACGGGCGCCCGGCGACGTCTCGGTAACCTCCTTGGGATACCAAGGTGAAGTGGTCTTCATTCATTTGTTAATGGTGGTGTGGTCCGTCGCAGCCTTCTCTGATAGATGACGGACCCAGGTCAAACTGAAAAGGCTGAAGGCTGAAAAAAGGCGAAACGATATTTTCCGGCGATATGATGCTATTTTCTGCACAGCCCTCAATGCCCATCATCGCACCCCGGCCGTCAATCTATTCGACCCGGGGGAGAGGCACGGCCCACGGGTCCCATCGTGGAGCACAGCGACAATGACCGCGAGGGCGGCCGTGCTAGCGACAGCGGCAATCGAAACACGCACATGGTGACATTTGTGGTCTGTGTTCGCGGTTGACATAGAGTGTTTATCGATATTGTTGACTTTTGACGATGATTCAGTCGGACAAGCGACAGACGCCGTCTTGCACGAGTCGTGACGGTTCCATTCTCGCAGGCATTGATCCGAATCTGGCGTCCAATCACCCCGACGGAATATGCGAATTGAGTCTTTGGCGATGGTCATGAGCGAATGGCGTCGCGCAAAGCCTGAGTCATCTTGCCGTGTCCTGTCCTCGAAGCTCATGCAAGCTCTTTTTCCATTGCTGGTCGACTCCGCAGGTAACAAACAGCCACAGCCTCCCGCCCCGGGGGCCCGTGACGTCCATGTCCACATCGTGGACCTGCATCGGCTGCAGCAGGCCATGATGGAGGTTGGTAGGTAATCGATCGTACCATGACGGCAGCGACGCATCGTCAGAGGGCTTGTTTGACGAGGGGCTTCAGGCTCGGGTACGCTCGCCGTGCCGTGGCCGTTGGGCTCTTTGTTGATGGCCCTGTCGAAGGATCGCAGTGTCTGCAAGGGGAAGCCACAAGCCACCCAGTCGTCTGGACAAGCATTCCGAGCAATCGTCCAATGCTGTCCGTCCGAGCAGGGCAGCCAGCGTAGCGAGTGCGCGAAGGATTGCGATGAAAAATGTTAGTGTGCGGGTGGCCGGGCTGTGCACATCTCTAACGCTTCTTGAGCTTCCGCTAAGCCACCGTAGCCAGCTTCCCGTCGGACCAACCGATGCACCAAGGCCTTGTTTCCCGCAGACGGGAAGCAGGAGAAGCTTAGAATTTTCATCATTGCGATTGCTTGCGTCGTCCGTGAGCAGCGGCAGAGCGGGGTGCATGTCCATGGGTGAGGTGTTTTGGTGCAGTCTGGTCGCATGGCAGCAGCATCGTGGATGTGTTGTCGGCTCGTTTCTTTCCTTTTTTGGTGTTGCTCCTTCTGAATGTGACACAAAACACCACTGGAAAAATTGGAAGGCGCTGTCGCTCTCACTGGAAGGTGCCCCACACCGCTCTTTCCCCACCTGCTCGCTGCACCTAAGGTACGTACCTCATGCCACGCTTCAACTGGCAGCAGCAGCAGCAGCAACCACCAGGCAGCCGTCGCTCCTTCCCTCAGACAGAAAATCCAGACCTCGATGACTAAGTCAGCTGAAGGTCACCCGATCAGGTTCACCTCGGCTTCCCTTGGGCTTCTGCCTGCAGCAACACACCAACGACTGCACACCAAAGAGTCCTAGATGGGAATGGGACTCCGGAGTCCTGTTGACGCCAGCTCGACGACCCCTGCATTACTCATTTGTTTCGACTGCCTCCTCAACATCTACGCCACAGACAGAAACGAATCCATTTTCACGTCTTGCTACCCGCTGGCTTACATTCCATTGGCTCGTGGCCGCCGCTTCTCGCTTCTCAACAGCAACCACCTCGGCCCAGACGCGTCAATTTCTGCAAACACGCCCTGATCCTTCGTCGAGTCGCCTCTTTTCTTTTGTTAGAGAACTGCGGCAGCCCTCGGTCTAGCGCCCGCTCGCCACCCGTCATCCCATTTATACACACAGACGCAGACATGCGGTCCGTTGCGCGTTCGACGCGGCAATCCTTTCCACATGGTCAAGCTGGATCGAATGGCCAACCTGCGTTTGCCATGACGCCGCCACATTGGCATCCCGAAATACCTGCTTGAACTTCTCGACACGGCAACCCCTCCGTGCCCTCTCATGCACGCAAGGCTGCAGGATCACCTACCATGTCGTCCATTACGAACTAGCCCTTGGCAGTACGTACACACACCTACACAGCGAACAAAGTCCTGTGCCTCCCATTCAGCCCCCATTTGGGGGCCGTCTCTACATCATATCCGGAGGCCGCTCGCGAATAATTCGTCGTCCATAGCGATGTATGCGCCAAAATCTCACTCGGCCTTCATTTCCACCACTCCGATATCCTGTTTCTCTAGCCGCGCGGAAGACTCTGGACTCAACCAGAAATGAGGTGGCGTTTGCTCAGCCTTACGAGGCAGAATCGCTCGTTCGGAGGAGGGTCCTGTGTCGCCGCGCCGGAGCTAAGAATCCACCCTCAGGGCTGCCTCCGAGTCCGGACCCCCTGCGGATACCTCGGGGTCGCTGCTCCGTGCTTGGTCCACTAGCGCAAGCCTAGGTATCCGGACAAGGAACCCTTCGCTGTCTCGGAGCATGGAAACCCATCCATTCATACCCGCTGCACGTCATGCTGGCGATTTGACTTTTGAATCCATGCTGTTACTGGAAGGTAGTTCGGCTCAATCAGCGGTTCTCGGCCAAGTCGTTCTCGCCGACTTCAACTCGACTCATTATTGTCTACATTTCTGCTATCATGTTCCGTGGTACCAAACTACTGCCGTGTCACGCGCGGTCTCTACACCTGTTAACGCCCAACGTCTGCCTTGCGTCTTCTGGAAACCATGCTGCAGGTCGCCCTAGTCTTTACGAGATCAGGTTCAAATTTCACCAGCAGGAAACGACTTTGTCCATTTCAACTTCCCAATCGTTTTCGCCACCATCCTGCGACTTCTTTATGACTCCACCGTCTCGGTGTAAGCCATCTAAGGCTGGGCCTCTTTCGTAATAGACTGCCTAGGCACAAGGTTCCACGTGCCGTCGACTCTCTTGATGCGAGGGTTGGTCTTGCTGGGCTTCATCTCAGCCCGTTCCTCCACGTCCCGCTTGTGTGCGGCTTTCGTCTCCGACTGACGAGGTACGAGGTGGAAAGTCCCGTCGGCGCGCCTCTTCCGAGGGTTTGTCTTGGTAGCCTCTACGTTTCTCTTGTCTGCGGCCTTGGTCTCCGACTGACGAGGCACCAGATTGAATGTACCGTCGGCTCGCTTGACGCGGGGGTTTGTTTTGGTCGCCTCAATATCTCGCTTGTCTGCAGCCTTGGTCTCTGACTGGCGGGGCACCAGATTGAATGTACCGTCGGCTCGCTTGACGCGGGGGTTTGTTTTGGTCGCCTCAATATCTCGCTTGTCTGCAGCCTTGGTCTCTGACTGGCGGGGCACCAAGTTGAAGGTACCGTCAGCTCTCTTGAGCCTCGGGTTGGTCTTCGTCGCCTCCAAGCTGCGCTTGTCCGCTGCCTTCGTCTCCGATTGTCGGGGGACCAGGTTGAATGTGCCATCTCCCCTCTTGGCTCGAGGGTTTGTCTTGGTTGCCTCGAGGTCCCGCTTCTGGACTAACCCGTCTTCCACGTCATCTGTGACGATGTCGGATCGCTTGGGCTGCAGATGCCAGGTACCTTCAGCTCGAACGAAGCGAGGGTTTGCCTTGGTTGCCTCCAGGTTTCTAGGCCGCAGGTTCCAAGTACTTTCGGTGCGTTTGACACGGGGCTCGGGTTGGGTACCAGCCAAACCATCCTTCGATGTAGGTGAGCAGGAGGATATGTTGTGCGACGACATGAACTTACAGCAACGACAGCGCCAGCGCTGGCCAAAACGACGAGAGTTGAAATAAGCTTCATTGGGACTTCGCGGAAGTGCGTGCTTTGAGTTTCTTTGGTAGATGGAGTTTATCAAAGGGCTTCCTGGGATCGGGACGGGTGGGAGCCGGCGCAGGAGTCAAATACTTCTACTCATGTCTTCCAGCCTCAGGTTGGTCGACTGGAGAATTGCCGATCATTTCGACCTCTAGACCGCTGCTTTTCTATCCTCGGAAGCACGTTGCATTGTTTCCTGGAACCGAAACCTGTTCTGGCCCCAGACAACGCGTGGCGTGCGAGGTCTTGGCTTGCCTCGGGGCCATCTCTTTGATGCTGGATATCTCCGGGAATTCCGGGAAGAGCCCGGCATGTTTGGACGTTTACAGCAGATGGCGGCGGGAGTTTCCCAAACAGATGGAACGAACGATCCATATTCCATGGCTATGGCTCAGACTTGGGTGCGTGATTCAAGTGGACTATCGTTGCTCCAGCGCTCATCTGGAAATCGGCACTTGTGCGCCGTGTGTAACAACCACCATTGGCCTGACTCGATTGATCAGAGACATCAACTCCGAGGTCTTCGCGCATGTAAAGGGTCATTTTGGGTGGAGAAACCCGCGATATCTCAATCGTTGTTGAATCGTTGTTTTCGTTTTCTAAGGGCACGATGGCACAGCTTAACGAACATACGAGATGCACGGCATCAACGTAAAAACGCCCGGAGCAGTCCGATGTTTTGCCATCGTCTGGAGTCTGACTCGTGACAGGCTGCGCTGCTGAAGAGCACGCCGACAATTCAGCGCGACGTGCATTTGGATCGGCGGATGGTTTCAAGGGAGCCGTTTCAGTAGTGGTCTTTCTGAAAGTTTATTTGAGTATTCGGTGTGGGGATCAGATGATCCAAGTCTGCTCGACTTGGGACCCTGACTGAGTTGTGGTCGGAATTGCGAGAAGCTTGGAACTGGGCGGGATTGTTCCCGATGGACTGTCCCCAAGACGCGCGCAGCTGCAAACGCGCGCGGGAAACTATCTTTCTGGAAAGTTGAAAAGGTCATCTGGCATTCCTTGTCCCCCATTTCGCACACGCAAAATCTCGCGCCATGTCGTCTAAGGCCCCGGCTCAGAGCCGGTGGGCAAGTTCGTCCTTATTGGCGCTAATCCTCCCGGTCGCTATCCTCTATCTTTTCACGCCGTCCCTGAACGTGTGGTGGAAGACATTCATTTCGGCCCAAAATGATCCGCACGCCGGCGAACTCGCTCGCGCAGCCATTTCCGAAGCCTCATGGCTGAGATCCGTCCGGCAGCGACACGACTGGATGGAAAAGAATCAAGACTACGACGACACGCTGTCAGGCCTTCACTCAACCCATTGTTTGTCACTGAACACCTGCTAACATTCAAGCTAGATTCTCACCCAGAGATGAGTCCCTCCGCTTCTGGTACACTCTCTGGGACCTCTTCCCCGCGACGTACAGCTGCCCTTGGGACCTGCAGCGCGTCGGTAAGCTCGGCGATGGTGGCAAGTGGATTTGCGGGATGAGCAAGTACGCCTCCGACCGCGCTTCGGCGCAGCGGCCATTGAGAGTGTACAGCTTCGGCGTCGGGAGCGACTCCACGTTCGAGGAGGAGTTTCTCAACCGCTCGTCGCGTGCGCAGGTGTGGGGGTTCGACGACACGGTGGAGATGTGGGGTCGCGGACTTGACGGGCACGCGTACGAGCACCGCGCGCACCTCTCCAAGGCGGCGGTTGCAGGGTATGATTTTTACGACGAGAAGGACAAGACGCAGTTCTGGTCTATCAGCAGCATCATGAAGAAGTTGGGGCACGACTATGTGGACCTAGTCAAGATGGACATTGAAGGCGACGAGTTTCCGACGTTGGAGGCCTTTTTGGAGGAGTTAAAGACGGAGGGGAAGGAGGTGCCGTTCGGACAGCTGGTTATCGAGATCCACGTGCCTGAGAAAGGGCCGAAGATCAGCCAATTCGCGGAGTGGTGGGAGAGGATGGAGGGGCTTGGGTTGCGGCCGGTGATGAGCGAGGCGAATTTGCTGGCTGTGACTGTGGGGGATGGACAGCCATGCTGCGTTGAGGTGAGTTTTTTCCTTTTTTTTTTTTTTTTTTTTTTTTTTTTTTTTGACGATGATGGTTTCTGAGTGAGATCTGACTTGAAGGCAGTATACTTGGATTAATACGAGGGATAGTCGAAGTATCTTGTGGGAATAATGCCGTGAGCTGCTCCGGGACGGGTTTGGGTCCAGGAGGGGATTGTCTTTGGAGATAGCATCCTATTATGTGTGCTGTTTCAGTCACTTGCAAGCTGGGTATTACCACAATTGCGCAGATTCAAGCTCTAGAACCATGATGGCTACCTTTCCATATCCATAGAGATTATCGTCTGTAGTTCTCGCTGGAGATACGCCATTGCCTACTGTCGGGTCTAGTGTCACTTCATGTCAGGTGACCCATTCAAGTCCTCGCCATCCCACCGGAGTTCGTTCATGAGCCTCAAATATCGCATTTGACGTAATCGCGGGGGCTGGATCATACCTCCTCCTACTTGCACCTCCACGAGACTAGGATTTGGGAGGTCCACGGAGGTGTGCGGCGCTTCTCAGGTCTTACAATTGATCGGGACGATAGCGAGCTAGCCATTGAGTAGAACGGAGCTGGGTTTCCTTTTATCCAAGGAGACGAGAAGTGGGTCTCTCTATGACGCCGACCAGGCTCTAGAGCGTAAACTGTAAAGGCGGCATGAGACAGCTGGAACTGTTGTCAATGAGGCGCGGAGGTAATGCCAAGGCGTCTTGGAGCGAGCTTGGGGGGCTCAGAGTCCTTAAATGCTGTTTGAGAAAGATCGATAGCGACCGCCATATCAGGTGGCCACTGCATACAGCATGGCGTGGTTATGTTGGCTCCCACCGTAAATCTGACCATGCTTAAGCGGTGATTTTCAGAAATGTAACCCTCATAGTAGGGGCATTATCGATACCAAGCCTTCATGAGTCGATTTTGTGTTGCTTAGGGTAATTGGCCCCCACGGGATTCGGGCGAACCTTGTCGGATTTGGGGTCCGAAATGCCAGTGCAGCAGACCTCGGGTGCGACGCGACGGTGCTTCCCCCGAGCCGAGGGTGCTGGGTAGACTCGCATGCAAGGGACAACCTGAGAGAACACGAGAGCGAGTAACCTAAATATATGCGGTAATAACTCAAGGACATTTTACGCTTCTTTGTCTGGTCATTACTTTCCTCAGTCACCCGCAAGGGCGCTCTTTTGCTCAGATTGACGTACAGAATGAGGATTATATCACGGGACAGAGCGATCTTATGTACACCACTTTAATGGATGAGAACCTGAGACGTTGCGTGACCTTTAAAAGCCCTGGTAAGTAGCCCCAGGCAGGTATGGTAGGGCTAACAACAATGACGGAGCCATCTGCAGCTAACGCTGACGCACAGGACACTCAGGACGGCAGGCCTGTTGTAAAGGCTGCTGTATCTGACACAAATCAGGACCAGAAGTAGGCCTCAGAAAATGTGATCAACTAATGAGGTTGAATGTTTGGCGAGGTCATCGCTAGAACTAACCTTCATGATGGTGGGCCTGACAGGTCTCCTGTCTGGGTAACTCATGTACAGAGAACCACTAGAGAAGTGCTGTCCGATCAGGCGTCTCAGTGGATCGTGGTACAAGACGGACGGAGTTCGATCTAATCAGCGAGGACCGGTGCTTTTCTCACGCTAATCGCAATCTCTGAGGTCGAAAGGAATTCGAGATTGAGGTGCTCTTTATATCTTAGTTCACTGGCAACTGATGGGGATACCCAGTACTGGAAAGACACGCAGTCCTCCCTAGAACCAATACCCTCTAGTGCGCAAGGCGCGCGCCAACAGCTTCTTCCAGCACGGCGGATACACTAACCTGTAAGGTACTAACGCAGGGCATGACGGCCTCGCTGACCAAGGTTCCAGAAACCTTCCTCGGGGGACCCCGAGCAGGGACGTGGGATGGAAAGTCTCGCGGCCGATCCACCATTTTCCACAGCAAGTCGGCGATTGTGGCTTTCTCCCGGCCCGCCGGTGCACTTAGCATGCAATTTCTCAGGAACATAATTACCGGCCCAACTTACACAGCCCCAGGTTGTCATCTTTCTTGTAAACATTCTAAAGACGCTTGTTCATCGCGACAGACAACAGATCTTGCTACAAAGAAGCATAATCCTCGATTCCGGGGGGTGTCAGCGTCGTCACATTTTGCGGCCCTAACTCCCCTGACGAACCGTGTCGCTTACCACAGCAGAGTCTCAAAAGTTGTCTTATTTCACTCCAAAGTATAATGATCCGTGGGTCCTTTTCCCCATTTAGGCAAGAACGTCCACCCCGTCCCAGAAAGGCAAAAAAAGGGCCAACAGCCTTTCGACAACAACTTCTCTCAAACTCAAGCTAAGGCTTGGCTAGGGCGGCGGGGTACTCGCCGTACGACACGCTCGGCATCTGGTATCCGCCCACCCTGGGCTCGCGAGTCAAGATCGGGCACGCCTGGTTGCCCATGTTGCGAGTTTGATTTGACGTCGGCGGTGGGGGATCGCATGGCGACGGCATGATTACTCGCACACACACGCGCGCGACTTCGGTTCGCTGCGTCACTGGGTGGACGGGGGGCCCAGACTGGGGCCGCTGTCAAACTCTTAGTTAGCTATCGGCAATCTTTCGTCAGATGACCAGATAAGGACCAGACGACGCCAAGGCCCACGGGTTGTGTGGTTGAATTGCGTCCGCCTTAAGAGTGGGCACTTCAGGGCGGCAGAGTGCGCTCAGGCGATCTTTAGACCCTCTTTACCGTCTGGTCTGAACTAATTATAACCCGGCTGAGCCTTCGACTTCCATTTACCTCTGGCGAAGCTAAAGATGCTTCTTTGATTAATCTTCTACCTGTCACTGAGGCGGTCGGCCTCACAAGGCTTACTATCATGTAGAATTTCTACCGGCGAACGGCGTCTGCGGAAGCAGTGTAATTTCCTCAGTTTTCAAGCAAATGGAAATATTCCCTTGACAGCCCACGTTTTTTTCACAATGGCTCCCCACCCGCTGGGCCACACACTCATTCATTCTTTGAAATGCTACGTTCTTTCACTCCATTCGTTTCGATTTTGTCGCTGGTCCTGACTTCAGGGCCAGCCGCAGTCTTGGGTCACAAGGGCCATGGCCTTGCCGCCCGTGATGCCCGGTCCATCGACCATGCGCTACATTCCTTGAGCAGAAGAGCGTTAGACGGCTACTTTGTCATCGACACAGAGATAGGTAGCGAATGGGGCTGCTCTGAGGCGAAGATCGCCAAGCTGCCGCAGATCGTCAACGACGCCCAGGCGCTGGCCACAATCGCATCCGCCGTGCTAGCGGAGCCGGACACCGAGTTCTCTGATGCGTTCGTCTTGTGGTTTGGTGGTAAGAGAGTCTACATGCTACTTGTTAATACTTGGAGTCACAATGAAGAGACTGACAAGCCGATGATACAGACACAAACTCCAAGGCTGACCTGCGAAAGACCCTGAAGCAGTCCAACTACGACTCGGTGCTGACGTACCTCAAGCCGCCGGGAGCGAACAACCGCGTCGCCGACATGCTGATGGACAATCTCAGCCCCACCGGTCTGACGTACATGTGTGCTGCCGCAGACAACAGCATGTGCGCGGGCAACTTGGTGGCCGGGGCCCACCAGCACGGCGCCGGAGGACTGTCCGGCCACTCTATCGTCTTGTGCGACAGGTTCTTCGATGGTGCGTCGAACCAGGAGATGCTTGCGTTTTGGCAGGAGAACAGGAGGCTCAAGGCTTCCGCGGGCTTTAACCTGCTGCACGAGGTATAGCACTTGGCCGCCTTTGTTGGCGATAATCGGCGATGCATCGACGTTCCCGACCCAGCTTACCCCGATGGCAGTGGTTGCTACGATGCGGGATGGTAGGAACAACACTGCCCCCGACTTGATGGAAATCCTCGCTAACACATCGCGCTCAGCTGTTCGAGACTTGCGCCCAAGGATAAGATCCAGAACGCCCAAAACATGGCTTTCTTCGCCTTGGAAGTGATGGCGAACCCCGAGAGTGGCGCCCCGCCCGGTGGTTCTTGCACCATCATGAAGAGAGACAATCCCGACATGCTTCTGGGAGGACCGGAAGACCTCATGGCCAGGTCTGGGTACAGCCCGAGGGACGAGTATGAAGCTTTCCTTCGCAGACAAGCCGGGCCGGCGTCGACGTTGAGCTCAATGAAGAGAAATGCCACAAGCTCTCGTCCACCAACCCGCTCGACTTCAAGAAGACCCACCGGTGAGGCCACGCCCTCTGGACCTGTCGACGACATCCCGGCAACCGGTTCTCGTCCTGCTACCAACAAGCCCGCAACACCCTCCCGCTCGGCGAGCGAGAAGCCAGCCACGCCATCTGCATCTGCAAGCAAGCCTCCAGGAACGCCTTCACGCCCTGCGACTGACAAGCCTGCTACGCCTTCTCGTTCTGCAAGCGACGCTCCGGCGGGAACACTGTCTCGCTCCGGAAGCAATGCTCCGGGAACTCCCTCCCGGCCCGCGACCAACAACCCAGCGACACCCTCTCGTCCAGCGACCAGCGGCCCTGCTGGTACGCCCTCCCGCCCGGCAGGCGATGCTCCCGTCTTCACCACTCGGCCGCCAGCCTCCCTGGTGTCCTCCTCGGGCGTTTCTTACTCCATCTATTACTCCACTGCGCCGCCCACCACGGATGAAGGCGGAGTACCCATCATTCCTATCGTGCCTGTCCCCGTGCCCGTCCCCATTGCCCCGGTCGTTCCTCCCGTTGTTCCTCCCGGTGGTGGTGGCGGCGGTGGCGGCGGCGGTAACGACAACCCCGACCCCGGCAACAACCCCACCAAGCCGGCCGACCCTTCGGCGCAGCCCTCCGCCCAGCCGACTTCGGCCCCACCCACCTCCGAGCCTGAGGCCCCGCCCACCTCGGCCCCTCCATCCTCAGCCCCTCCCTCATCCTCGCGACCCGCCTCATCAGCTACGCCGTGCTCGTCGAAGGCACCTCTCCCGGCCATTCCCACGGGAGGTGGCACGCCCGGCGACCGGGACGGCTTCCCCCAGGCCGTCTACGACAATCTCAAGAAGAAGGCAGCCCCTACCACGGCACCGCCGGCCACCAGCACCGTGCCTCCTCCGCCTCCTCCGACGAGCAGTGACAGCTCCATCCTTGAGACAGCCGGTCCCTTGCCCTCCGCGACGGCCGTTCCCGTTCAGCCGGTGGCTTGTTACAACTTCAATGTTAATGCGTACGGATACTGCTGCCGTGGACCTGATAGTCCGTGCGAGAAGGATCTTGGCACGTGCTACTACGGAGGAACTGGTGTCACTGGCGGCGCGACTAATGTTGTTCCTGATGGTGCTACTTGCCCGCCTCCCGCGGATGCCAAGTCTTGAGTATTAAATTGGAGAATGGGACAGAAAGGTTGTGAGGGACTAAGGGTAACGGCAGGTGCCGTCGATTATGATATTCATGTATTTTTTATGAGCAACTATTAGGTGCAGAATATGGAGACGAGATTCCCAATTTCAGAAACCTCAGTAGCGTATCTTGGCTTGTTGAACAAACTGTCAAGTCAGGTCCTTATGCCACCTGCTGGTGCATGTCCTGGTCCTTTGATGCGTAGAGTAATAACCGGGTTCGCATCCGTCGGTGTCGTTGAGGTATCCTTTTGAGATTTTCGTAGATGCAGTAGATTGCCTTGGTAATTGAAGCCGCATCTGAGCAGCGCCTTTCCGAGTAGAGACCTGATTAACATGAGCCTGGCCCTGTTCTACCAAATGCTTATATCCTGCGCCATCACTTGCAGTCGGTGAGCCGACAGAAGGAACCCTCACGCGAGAAGGGAAACATTAAACTGGCAAGTTAGCTAGGAGGTTATCCAGGACAAGGACATGGGTGCTATGACATTCATTCAAGGATGCACATCGACGATGATTTATCCTAGACATCAACCATCTATCTATGTTAGTAGGAAGATTCTGTTATTGACATGAATAGGTGTACTCCTTACTTCTACATTCATCGTTGATTACCTGTCAATCGGCCATCATTCATGTGATTCCTTCTCACCATCGTCCTGGGATGGCTCTCCCTTCGCATCCTTCAACATCGCGTCCACATGAGACCAGGGCAGATCAGAATCGAAATACAGTGCCAGCGTGTCTTTGAAATCCCCATCAAGCTTTGCTTTAACTGTTGTGTACTTTGTATCCGAACTTTTGGTGTTGGCTACAGTGATGTCGGGATGCTCCTGGCAGGGTTGAGTCTGGAAGCTGCGTCAAGACAGGCGTGTTAGAGACGGACTCTTCGACAGTCTACAAAACCTATGATGCATATGTAGGTGAGAAGCTTCACAGTGTAGATTCATTCTAAAGTTCAGGAAACAAAGACCCCCAGCTCTCAACAGTTCCCATTTCATCCCAGTCGAATGTTGCCCCTTGAGCTTCACTTGTAAGTGCCAGTCCCAGACCTCCGTCATCCCCTAATTCCTGCATCGCCTGGTCGCACACTAAGAAAGTGAAAATGTCAAGCTGGTTGCCTTCATATTCTGGGAGGGTGTCCCCGATAGGTCCCTGAACTCCGTTTCTCAGGTGTTCATCATTTCCGACTTCCGGCAGAACCTGACCGCGTATTGATAGGTCAAGATCGTTGTCTCCGGAATCTAGGCCATTGGACCTAGTAGGTACTTGCTGTTCGACAACCCCGTCTCTAATTTGCTCGTTGGCTGCCATCCACCCGACTCTCGAGACGGCATCATCGGCTCCAAGTCTCCTTATCACAGTGGTCGGTTCCTCCTGTATCCGGTGGCCGTCCTCACAACGTTTCGCCCCAGGAGAAAAGCCCACCTCCTCTTCAAAACTTTCCACGCCACCATCAGAGTGGTAAGAAACGCGCTGCCGTTCTGCGATTTTTCGTGGCGTTTGGTCTTCATGCAGAAGATCCTTCTCATTCAGAATCTTCTCATCAGCCTCTTCCAATGGTCGGTGGGATGTCAATAATTCAGCCACTGCGTGGTGCCCAGATCTGCGTGCATACGCAATCGCCCGAACAAATTGCCGACGGCCACTACCGAGGGTCTCGACGCCCGAAGAGAGCAAGATCTGGACTGCGTCCAGTCTTCCGTGTTCAGCTGCCCCCTCAAGGGCCGTTCGTCCCCATGATACGGCACCAGGAGTATTTGGATCCGCGTTCAGCTCCAGGAGCCTGCGCAGTATCCCCGCGTACCCTTCCATAGCAGCTACCTGGAGGGCCGTGGCACCAAGATCCCAACAAGGCTCGTCGTTGACATTGGCACCGAGATAAAGAAGCCTCTCCATTATCTCCCGGTGGCCGCCACGAACGGCCTCCTGTAGGGGTGAGTGATCGCTGTCATGAAAGAAGAGTGGTGTGTATTCCTTTCGATCGTCTGGTTTATGTTCGAAATCGATATCCTGGTGAACAAGCCATTCAACAACGTCAAAAGCTTTCTTCTCTATAGCGATGGCAAGCATGTTAGCTGTCATCGCCACACCAAGATCGCTCAATTTCCTGAGAAAGTCACAGGCATCTCGGGTCGATGCAATGGCTATAGCTCCGCACACCGAAGACACTTGGAAACTGCGGCGCACTAGAATGTCAAGGTAATCGCACTTTCCAATTTGAGACGCAACGTGGATGACTGGACTGGGTCCATCATCGGTCTTCAAGGTCATGGTCTCTGCCTCCCAGAATGTTTCAACCCATTGGTAAAATACTGAGTCAATGTTGAACGTTGCGGAGTCCGTTGAAGAAAGGAGCTGCTGGGAGGACCAATTGTCTGCCGGTGCTGAAAATTCTGGGCGGAGACCAAGATCCATCATCATGTCCGCAATCTCTGGAATCCCCAACTCTGCTGCGAGGCTCATTGCCGTGCCCAGCCAGAAGTCGTCTTCGGGTGGAGGCTGAACGACAGCTGCGAGAAGGTTTCGAGTGGCGTGCAAGTCCATGGTACGTCTTGCCAACAAAACAGCAGCGCATACTAACTGTCCGGGTATGACTCTTTGGCGGCAATTGAACATGTAGGATGCCAGTGGGAAGTCTCTGTTGAGTACGGCAGCTTGTATGACTGAGTCGTTGACGGATAAGGTAGCGTAGCTCCGGAATCTAGGAACCGTGTAAAGGAGAGCTCTGACGCACGAGTGTTGTCCAGTTCGGCAGGCAATGGCGAGTTCGCCCCCCACTTGAGTCGCTCCTTCTGATAGAAGAAGCTGAATGTTTTCTCGCTTGCGTCCAAGCAAGGCTGCCTGAAGCGCAGTTCTCCCACAGTGGAGTATCCCCCTTCCATTTATTCGTTTGTAGAATTGTTCGCTGCGAGTACCGCCTGGTGGGCAGACGGGTCTTGGATCGGGATCATTGGTTAGCGGATGACAGAAATTGATCCTAGCGCCCAAGTTCAGGAGACAGCGAACCATTGCTGCGTCAGAGAGAAATGCAGCGCACTGAAGCGGGGTTGCGGCAGAAAAGTCGCAAACGGATCGTGGCATGGTCGGCTCAAGGCAAGCTCCCAGCTGCACCAATCGTTGGCACAAGGCAAGGTCGTTACCGCACGCAACTACTGTCAGAGGCGTTTCCAGAAGTGCGTTTGTGGAGTTGACAAAGCCGGAATATTCTGTGACCAAGTCCCATGTCAGGCTGCTTTCGGTCTTGATTGCTGTGACGAGAAGCTGTGAGATGGACTTGGGGGCGACGAGCTTTGAGCGGAAGAAATCGATCACAGCCTCTGAAACGTTCCTAATTATATGGGAACTCACGGTTTCAAGTAGCTTTCGCGCACGTTCTTCATCTTCACGGATGAACTCATAGCGCGATAGCAGCATCTTGACGGATCCCGCCGGTGAAACCTTTGGTTCCAGATCCGTTCTCAAACAGGAAGCAATACGAATCATCTCTAGATCAACATTGGTGGTCATAGCTTGTCTTTCGACGAGGAATTCCACCAAGCGAGTATCATTGATGATGGTGGCGTATTGCCAGGCAGTTGACGTCTCTGACATGTGTGATGTCGACGCATATTTGCGCAGAAGACCCGGCATGGCAACATTGATATCGACACCTGCTGCATGTAGGCACCTCATAGCGTCAAAGTCTGACGCTTCAACAACCTCGCTCCATAGACAATTTAGAGTTGACTGCAGGCTTGGTGAAAGTTGCGAATACTTTTGGCGCGCGATCAAATTCCAACCGTTGCAGCGCTGAATAGTGTCCAGGAGCAACGTCATGATTTCGTTTCGTTTCTTCGGACTCCACATGCTGTGGAAATTGTTTGCGAGTAGGAAGAAAAGTATTTCCATAGTCTCGGAAGTACTGCTCAAGGAGTCGCATTGTCGTGCCAGGGCTTCAGCCATGTGAATGTAGTTTCGATGATCTGCTTCTGGCATCCAGAGGCGGAGAGCCTCATGTGTTCCATTCAGGCGATCCTTGTGGTTCTTTGATAGATTGTAAAACTCCCCAAATATGAGATCGAGAAGGCTTTGGCTGTGGATACGAATAGAGGATTTCCGGTCGTCAAGAATGTTTGGCGGAGTGAGACAAATGAAGCCTGATCACCTTGGGTCAGAAGAATTTACAGATACAATCAGGCGAGAAGCCTACTTTCGAAGAATCTTTGAGATTGGGTAACTTCAACGTCTTCATCGTCTGCTGAGTTATGAGGCGGGGTGCGTATGATAAGTGAGAGATCTTTAGGTGACTCCGGCTCGTCATCTAACGAGAGTGCATTGACATATAGAAGAGAATCATATTTAGACGAAAGATTTGAGGACATACTGGGGGTTTTCTGATACATTGTATTATATTTCTGGAGTGTTGTGATGTGGAGATGTTTGTTTCGCGCAGCATTTTGTAGATCCTTCTGGATTCCACACAGGTAGACACTGCTTTGCTTGCCGCGAGATCTTCGCTGATGAACTCGGGTTTCAACGTATCTCCATTGTTTGGCGCTCATCTTTTTGCTCATGTGCCATAGTTTGAGTCTCGATTCCAGTTGCGCCTCGCTGCGTTTGGTTGAGTTTCAGCCCACCCCAATTTGGGTCCATTGATGCTCAGCAGAAATACTAACCTTGGATCGAAGTCATGAGTATGGAGTTCTTCAAGAACTTCTGATAGGGTTTTGTCATCTTGCAGGTAAAGCTGACGGATCATTGGCTCGAAGCACTCCCACTTCGCGTTGCTAATGACGGACCTCTTTGGCCGAGGCATGGAGGCAAGGGCAGATACCAATTGAATCTTGAGCGCTCTGGGGGCAACATCAAAGTGGGAAATGGTGGTGCAGTGATGATATTCACAGCGACATAAAATACCTAGGTACGAGTTAGGAGTGGCTTTTGACGGGATTTTAATGCTCTCCCTGCGAAACTTGCATAAACGAATGTCATTGGTTCCTTCTAGATTCTGTTCCAGCTCTGCGCCGCAAATGGGAGTGGGTCCTAACCAGTCGCATCGGTTGAGCAGGCTGCTGGGGGCTCGCCGTGGTAAATGCTATCAATAAGTTCCCTTGAAGACCCTGCGGTGTGGTTCATTGGCTCATTTTAGAATCTGAACTGTCTTACGCCACGCTACACCGCCGTTTCAGGCGAAGGAGCTTTGTATCCGGAATGCACACTGCAGAACCTCCGTGACTCACAGGGAAAAATGCACATTTGCATCCGTCTTGGCAGACAACTGGACAGGCTTTTGTGAATAGCACGACTCTTGCTTTTAGGGCTGTGGCTGCTACAAGCAAGCGAAGATAAGCCGACGAGCAATGGCAGATCTGGTGGATGACAGTTTATACATAATGTCTTTCCGAGAGCATCAATAGTTCTTGTACGCACCATTGTTTTTGGGCGGCTGTAGACGGAGATTCAGTGGACCCTTTCTTGACGGAAATTTGTAGGGGATTACAAACGGGTTCATGAGTGGTGGCCCTGATATCTATGTGCCAAACTAGCATTCGAAGGATGCAGAAGAGTCCTCCAACGTCGCCTTATAGTGATAAAGTCATATACTGAGCTATTAAATTCATTATAGATCTTGCTGTGTTCTTTGTTACACCGCTTGCTGTGGAAATTACAATTTGGCGCACCTTAAGTATCAAGCGGGTGCATATCTCACAATGAAGCAGCGAATTCGATACTCTTTCTGTTGGTGCATTTTGCCTAAATACCGCAAGAGCGAGACCGCTCACAACTAAGCACTTGTGATATATTCTCCCCGATATGTACTCGTACCCTCCCCGACCTGAACCTATTGGCGACATGAAAGAAAGAGCTGTGGCAGACGACATATTGAATAGACCATTAGGACAGATCGACAATCAAAGTAGGAACAGAGGAAGAGAGGTTTCTTTGCGACCGAAAGGTGGTGTGTCCGGCTGGAATCTCGAAGCGCGCCAAAAGGAATTCAGGTAATCATCATATTTTTCGCGCAAGTGCCAATAGTTTGACGACGTCTTAAACAGCACTGCCCGCTCCTAGGAGGCGCTAACGTAGATCAAGTGATGAATGGTGAAGCCGTGAATAAATCCTTGGAGGTGATTGACTTGGAATTATCCAGGAATAATTGCGCTAAACAGGAGAGACATCGAGAGACCAACTTCACAGAAACGAGAATCACTCAGTATTGGCTCTTGTCAGGCAAGTCTGCTGATATGTGATGCACAGTGTCAATCATGTATCGTCAGAGTTGATTAAACTAAAATGTCCGACTTTGAGTGATTTGCTCTCACATGTCGATAACCACAGAATTCCATTTAGCAACTACCCAGCACCCCGGTTCCATCATGGCAACCAATATACTCGAACATTTGCTGCTCCGCCTCCAAAACAAGCACTTCGTGGAATAAGCTCAGACTCATCTTATCTCCTAGTCTTTTGGCGTACTTGGCAAACTCCCCAAAGATGGCGAGGTGTGTCCTGTGCTCTTTGCTCCAGCTTTCTAAGGAGCTGAGGTTGTCGAAATACGCAAGGCAGAATGTGCGATCTGTGCCACCCTCAGCTGTGACCGGATCCACTACATCCATGAAGCGACAGCTGATACAGCCGACCTCGTCGCCGTGGTCACGTAAGAAGTCCATGCCTCTAGTCAGGGGTGGTTGCATGGAGTCGAGATAGATCTGGCGTTCTTCGGGAAGAGCGGCTGACCAGTCTTGGCCCGACCGGATGACGCAGAGATTCTTCTTGCCGTGAACCCGCACTCTCTTTGACTTGGCAGCGCCATTCGTGGCAGAATCCCCGTTCTTGACAGTCTCAGTGTCCCCAAGAAGTTCGTCCGTCTGTGAGATGGGAAGGCGGTCCCGCATGCTCCCCCAATAGACGTGTTCCTGTATGGGACCAGTGATGCTCTCTCTCAAGTTCCCAGCACCTTCCGGTAATTGTGTCGAAAACACTGTCTCGAGGCGATCGATCGTCGGGTAAAAGACCTCAAGAAACCAGCCATTATCGTCAGACGTAAGATTGCTCCACCAATCGTGGAATCCGCTGGTGGTTGACCATTCTTGGTATGCTGACTTGCTAGGCCAGTATGCGAATACAGCGAGATTGTAGAAGCCGCGGTTGTCGGTCACTGCTGCGACCTCGTGAAAGCCGGGGCGCGATTCTGGAGTGGCTGAGTTGGAGGTAATGAACTCAGATATTGTTCTTAAGGCCGAACCATCGTGCTTCACATTTGGTAAGTATTGGGCGCCGATGACTGCCATGACAAGATCTTTTGTGTCTCTTGGGAATCTGGACGTGTAAAGCTCGAAAGAAGGCTTGAAGCCCGGCGGAGCTCTCGCCGGTACTGTGCGATCTTTTCGCAGCCATTCGGGAATGGCAGACTCGAGCTCTGTCATCGTGAAGTTTAGGAAAAAGTGAAAGGACGTGCTCGGAAAGGTGCACGAAAGCTGGGGAAGGATGACTCGGGGTGATTCCAAACGTAACAATTACCACATCATGTCCTGCAGCAACCCCAGTCCGGACTTTTTATAAACTGCCGGCATCTACCAAGAAGCGCCCAGTTCATCCGAAGACGATCTGTGACACCTTCAAAACCAAGGTTTGCAACTAGCTGATGTTGATTCGATGATACCGGGCGTACCGGGTCCTCGGTGCCGGAGCGAGAGCGAATCACGATCGGCGATAAGTACCCCGCACGGAGACTGACGTCCGCGTCAGCGGGGCCGATAGGGTAATGCTCTTCCGGGCCGGACCCACGTCGATAATGCGAGGTCCGGCATGCGTTAGCCAGGGTTTGGCCTGTGTTGGCTGGTTTGGGGAAGTGGAGGCCTGTTTAGTTTAGCCCAAAGGGTTTTGCTGATCCATCACGGATCCTCCATGTAGTCGATAGGGTAATGGTCGACCGGCAGAATCAGATGATATGTATTTGGGGGGTTATCGCCACGCGTGTGATACGCGAGAGGAAGCATCAACGACAAAGGATAGGATAATGCTGTACCGATGTAAAACATGATAAACCCCCTGGTGCATCATGAAGATGATGAGGAGAAAGAGGAGAAGAATGATCATCGACATTCATACTTAAGCACGCCTCTTTCACGATGAGTTCAACATCAGACGAAGCATCAGCACTCACAGATTCCCAAGACTCCTCCTACCTCTCCATTCGCCTGAAGAACTCAGAGAACCTACCACCTCCTCCGTCCAAAACAACCTCTTCAAAGACCAAGATGGCCCCCAAGCTCAAGATCGCTGCTATCCAAGCCGAGCCTGCCTGGCAGGACCTCGAGGGCGGTGTCAACAAGTCCATCGCTCTTATTGAGAAGGCCGCCAGCGAGGGCGCCAACGTTGTCGGTTTTCCTGAGGTCTTCATCCCCGGATATCCTTGGTAAGTAGTCGCAAGACATTGTCCATCTACGGGAATCTGGAAGTCAATAGTTGACTAACATGCGCCGGGAAAGGAGCATCTGGGCCAAGTCCCCCACTGACAACGCTGCCTTCATGGACGAGTACTTCCGCAACTCGCTTGTGAAGGACTCGGATGAGATGAAGCGCATCTGCGCAGCTGTCAAGGAAGCCGGTGTCTTCGTCGTTCTTGGTTACAGTGAGAGATACAAGAACACTCTCTACATCGCACAGGTATGGTCTTCACGCCGCGGTCATGATACCGCCCGTAATACTCACAAGCTTCAGTCTTTCATCGATGAGAACGGTGTCATCGTCCACCACCGCCGCAAGATCAAGCCCACCCACGTCGAGCGCGCCTACTGGGGTGACGGCCAGGGCGAGTCCCTCCAGACCGTCGTCCCCAGCACCGTGCACCCCGACGTCCGCATCGGCGGCCTCAACTGCTGGGAGCACACGCAGACTATGCTCCGCTACTATGAGTACGAGCAGAACGTCGACCTGCACGTCGCCAGCTGGCCTCTCATCTGGCCCCAGCCCAACGACAAGGACGGCAACCCGGACCCCAACTGGCCCGGCCACATCACCGACGAGATGTCTCTGCGCTTCTCCCAGATCGTCGCGCTCGAGGGCGCCTGCTTCGTCATGGTCTGCACGCAGATCTGCAAGGACGAGTCGGCTGCGCGCTGCCGCATCGACGACTTTGGATACGCCAACAACCACCCCACGCACGGCGGCGGCTTCAGCATGATCTACTCTCCCTGGGGCCAGGAGCTCGCCACGCGTCTGCCGCCCAATGAAGAGGGCATCCTCTACGCCGAGGTCGATCTTGCTGAGAAGGCCAAGGCGAAGCAGAACCTGGACATTGTCGGCCACTACTGTCGCCCTGACCAGCTGAGTCTGCGTGTCAACAAGTACCCCGCTAGACCTGTCCACTACGCGGCTGACCCCTGAGTGCGATGAATCCCTTGCAAGGGAGGGGATGACGGAGATCCTTTTGAAATGTCTTAAATCCAGCCGCTTGGAATATTGGAGACGCTAGGCTATGTTTTTCGTTAGAGTTCGACTAGGCACTGTTAGTGGATATGCGGGGAAAGATAACTCAGCACTGATTGATTCGTCGGAGTGGGGGGTTTCAGGTAGTGATAATTTCTGTTATTAGGCGCTCATGACACAACGCGGACGCTCATCTGAACTTAGTCTTCTACACCTCGGTGAAGTGACTTTTTTGAATGCCCAGCCCTGCCCAGCCTCGACGACGCCCTCTGAGAGCCTCACGACGCGCAGATAAGGCGCGATAAGACGACATGTCTGAGCCGACCGCTTCTGCGCCGCAGCCTGAGGGGAAGAAGAGGCAGCGGGTCTCAATCGCGTGTCTTGCGTGTCGGGGGAGGCGGATGCGCGTAAGTTGTGGACACATGAGCGCAGCCCCACGGAGTTCTCCGATGAGATCCGAATGAGTCGCTAATGAGATATTGCGATAATAGTGTGATGGACAACAACCGATTTGCGGATCTTGTGTGAGAAGAGGGACTCAGTGTGAATTTCAGCACGCGGAAAATAAGCGCAGGTCGGATTCCTCCCTTGACTGTATGAGGAGGCGATCACGGCCGTTGACGATGAGATAGGCCACCGAGTAAGAAATATGTCGAATCGCTCCAAGCACGGATAAGACTCTTAGAGGCCCAGGTCGTGTCACTTGGGTCGCAGCCGCCGATGACCCTTCCCGAGACACAGTCGATTGAGCCCGAAGGAGCCGAGCTTGATGAGAGCACTGGGGATGAACAGGACCCTCTCGCAGAACTTACGGGACTAGTAGGACGTCTCAACGTGATTGAAGACGGCCAGGTACACTATTTTGGATCACAAAGCTCCTACAACCTCGTCCGGGAACCCATCCGCGAAGCCGATCCTCACGAGCCGTCTCTCCGCTTGCAAAGACAGGGCATCGCGGCTGCAGCCCAACTAGGAAAACTGGTCACGATATCTGACGATATGCAAAATCACCTACTCGACATTTACTGGCGATGGCAGAACCCGTGGAATTACGTCATTCACAAAGGAACGTTTTTGAGGAGTTTCAAAGGCGAGGATGGGGGGAAATACTGCTCACCATTACTGCTCTCCGCCATCTTTGCCATTTCGGCACGATACTCGGATCGCCCGGAGCTACGCTCAGACCCAAACGACCCGAACACCGCCGGCGATGCATTTTGCGAGCATGCTAAGATTTTGTTACTGTATGAGAGCGAGGCGCCGACGATCACGACTGTTCAGGCTGCGTGTCTCTTGGCTCTTCGAATCATGTCGGATGGCAAGGAGGCTCTTGGATGGCTTTACTCAGGTGAATGCCCATGTATTTCCACAGCTATCTAAATCTGCTGACAGAACTTTTAGGAAACGCGACAAGAATGGCTCATAATCTCGGCTTAAATCTGGATTGTTCAAAATTTGTGACTTCAGGATTGTTGTCGGAGGATGAGGCCGATACGAGAAAGGTGACGTGGTGGGGATGTTACGTCGTGGACAAGTAAGCGAGCTTCTTCGCAAACTGTTCAGTCACAGAAGGGTTTATGGGAGAAATACTGACTCAAACTAAGGCTTTTCTCACTTGGCTTAGGCAGACCAAGCAGCACACCAAAGTCAAGCATCACTTGCCCAAAGCCTAGCATCGATAACGAGGAGGAGTACACGCCTTGGAAACCGACCCCTGGCGGAGCTTTTGATGACAGCACTCTTGGCGTTCACTCTCACATCTCATCGACAGCTCACCATGTATCAGAAACCTATACAATTGCGTGTGAGGCTATGGACATGATGTAAGACCCTCACTTCGCAGCAGACTCTCTTCATATTGACAATTATCAGATACGCGATCAACAGCAAACTTTCACCAAGAGAAATTGAGGACATCGTTACAAAGGCCGATGTCGAGTTACAGTCACACTATCGAGCGCTCCCTAGCTACCTCCGCCTACCTTCTTCCCCCAAAGTACCGATGCTTCCACACATCTGCTTGTTTCAGTGAGCATTTCCCTGTCGCGCACAAGCTCAGTCACGGTCGTAGCTGACGAAAATGCTTAGCATTCAATACCATGCCCACTTAATTCTCTTACACAGACCCTTGATGAGGAAGAGAAAATCAAGGCGTTCTGTAAGCAAGAGCGCATCATCCCCGGAAGATACAAGCAGCCTGGCCGATGACGAATACGCAAACGAGCATATGGCCACGTGTCGCCACTCAGCGGCAGAAATTGCAAGGCTTCTGAGAGTGTACAAGCAGCAATACACTCTGGTGAGTTTCTCACACTTTGTCAAAGTTCCTGCCCGTTGCATGAGTAGGACCCAACTGATAATTATCGACTAGCGTCGTATACCGATCGCAGCAGTTCATCTATGCTTCTCAGCAGTTATCATCCATCTCATCGATGCTCGACCATCAAACCCCAAGAGGCAACTGGCGATCCACCACTTGCAGACGTGCATCGATGCCCTCAGGGATCTGAGGACGGCGTGGTGTGCTTGGAGTGATCGAGCACTTAGGGCGATTCAGCTACTTGCAAGAGAGTGGTACCACTGCGACGACGTGTCGCAATTACAGCATGTCAACAACCCTAACAGAGGAGGAGCCCGTGAGGCGGGATACGTCAGTTTGGGCGATTTGTCTATGGGTGCGGGAGGGGGCGCAGCAGGTGGCCAGGTAATGGGACCTCCGGTTGCTTCACCAGGCGCGACTGTTGAGAGCACGATGGGGAACACGGGCCGAGAGCAGGCCGTGGCGGAGGGAGACCCGTTAGCCTTTCTGTTCGATGCCAGTATGCCAGATCAGTACACTGATACACTGGTCAGAGAGTGGCTTGCAGAGAGCGGGTACGATGATATGCTGAATATGGGCAACCAGTAAACAGGCTGATGTCCACGAACAATAAAAATAATGATTTTGGGTCTGGCGTGGGGTTCAACACCTCAGTGCTGCCGATCGAATATTCTCAAGTCTGGAATGTCCACGTGCTGTTTACGACGTGTGAGATATCGTGGATGGACCTCCTCAGGCAGCCAACGCTGGCGTTCGATAGAAATATGATATCTGACGCGGACGTCATCAAGTTCAGCGCGCTGCGGCAGTCCAGACTCTTTGCGTTAAATCGCTCAACCGAGCCTGTCATCGCAGAGAGTCCCCGCAGGGGATGAGAGAGTCCTGGTGAGACCCGCTGCGCGGCCGTTCAGCTCTGCACCAAATTGGTAAATATTGGGGCGATCATTTCTTGGCGGCATACTGCAGGAGGACTCCTCGGAAAGGCTCTCTCGTCTCGCTTTCGACGAGTTGCTATTGGCTAACTAGATTTCAGAGACTGCAAGCCACCGGGCTCCGACCTTTTTTGAGTCGCCGGTGATAGTATACAGCAGCGTTGCCGGAGTGCTAGGTTTGGGTATTTATTAGCGACCTTAGCACCCTAAACTTGGGATGCTTTGTATCCTTACCTTCACCCACTTTCTCTCCTGTTACTGAACACAACCCACCAAGATTTCGAGAGGCTTACGAGTCTCTTCAGCAACTCTATCACCTGGGGTTTCCCGGGTGAACTTTTATCTACTCTTAGAAGGGTCGCCGTACCCCTCAAGCGGCGGCCCTTTGAACCCTTTCAATCGACCCACCAAGTTGGTGTGCTTTTGTCACCCAACAAGACTTCATCAACTTTAACGACAACACCTCACAAACCGTATCTCCAACCCCCTACCAACAACCACATGTCCCTTCAAGTACAGACGGAGCTTCCCGCGACCAAGCCTCTTCTCACTTCTTGCATGGATTCCCTCACCTCGATCTTACGTCGCCACTATTTCAATGGAGTTTAGATACCTATCTCAACTCGGAAGATAATTTCGGCCTTGACCCAACCAACGACGTCTCGGAAGCCGATTTTCAATATCTACTTCAACCAATACAACTTTCAGCTTCGGGAAGCGACTATTTCGCTACAAGTCACCCATACTCAGCTCTGGGATGCGACTATTTCGCTACAAACCACCCACTTTCAAATTCGGGAAGCGATCATTTCGCTATAAATCAACCAACATTTCCGATCGCGCCAATCGCGATCTTGACCCCTGAATCAACAGATCCAGCGACTTCCATCTACCAGTCGCCAACAGAAACGCGACCAATTCGCAAACACAAATGCCAAGAACCTGGCTGCCGGTACTCCACCAACTCCCGAAAGGATCTGATCAAGCATCACCGCAAGCACAAGCCGCTGGCCCAACATGAACGCCCCCGATGCCCTCATACCGGCTGCGGGAAGACTTTCACTAGAGAAGACAACCGTAAGCGACACATTCGAAAGAGTTGTCGTTATCGATCGCACGACAAATGAATCCGTAGTGTGATGCTGAGTTCTTCAGTGAGTTTTTCCCGTGGCCGACGGGTTCCATCCAGCTAAGGTGTTAACAGAAACGCAGTTGCAGCCCGCAATGAAAACATCACCACTTGTTCAAACAAAATAGAACGACAGCGAGCCTGAGATCGACGCATACGGCTATTATGTGGCACAACAAACTGTTCCAGAAAAGGAAGCAACGCCACAATTTCTTTGCCCAAATATGGCAACTACATCAAATCTAAGCCAAAAAAGGCTAACAATAATTAGCCGAGACACATCACAGCTCATCAAAAGCGATACACCGGATGTTGAGCTTCCTTACCTTCCCATACTGAGCTGAGACTGGTCGCAAAGCCCTTGGCTTGGAGTTTCAATGAGGTATAAGTTGGATAAGGGTACTTTCTCAGACAAGAGTGTTGAAAACGGTAAAACCTACCAGGCTCTCTTGGATCGCGTCGTGGAGCGTTGAAACACCGAACATTACTGCCGCTCAAGTAGATTGCTGAGACTGTTACGTTGTATGTGTCAATCGCCATTATTCAAATGGCAACACCAGAGAATACTTCAAACAGATTAGGTTGATCGGCCAATATTCTCTCGACATTACCAACTGACCTGCACACTTCCCTTGTGATGCCTGAGCCGTTTCTATAACAATACGTATTGCTGTCTTTTCATGCGATGAATTCAATGATAAAGAAATTGCATCACATTTTGTTATTGATGGAGGCAAAAGCGGCCGACTAGAGACAGGGGACCGAAGTCATTACGTTTCTTCCCGCACCCTACCTGTCTTGCCTTGTCGCCAAACGGCTGTTGTCACCATACATCTACCCAATAGTTGTATTTATGACAAAGACAGTGTAGCCTGTTCCTCTCCGTCCTTCATGAAGCAGCCTCTTGATTGGGTCCACCCTCCAGTTACTTTGGCGTAAAGTCATATCGTAAGCACCCAACGTCAATGTAGCCACCTCGGCCCTGATTTCCCGTACCTGGTCATAAGTTTGTTAGATATGGCACTTGATCCCTGTTTGAAGTTTGTCAACTCACATTTTTCCCAATTGTCCTGGAAGAGTTCCTCGCAAGCGGTATTATGAAGCATTGTGAGGTTTTTCGTAGGATTTGCGCAATTGATAGATTCGGTTGCTGACACGCACCCTGACCTCCAGCTGATTGACATGTCATAGCGGACACCGCCCCAACTGTCGTCTCGCCTTCGGGTCTCTGAATCAGCTTTCATCGGAGTTTCGCATTCGGTGCAGGCTCTTAATGAAGCGTCATATACCGAAGATTTCCAAATGTCCGTTTTACCAGTGTAAATGCTGGCGTCATGGCACTTACGCTCGCCGATCACAACTGGCGTCTTCGGCTTCTCTGGTGGAGTCGGTACGGGATCGGGTGGCTTCGAGGTGACAGTAGACAGAGTGGTCTGAACGGCCGTAGTCTTGGAAGGCAGGTCGGGTAAGACGCAGACACATTTCCCGTCGACGCAACCGTTGGTCTGAGGTGCACTGCAGACGACTCCAGGGGAACACTTGTCGACTGTCCTCTCCGTGCAGACAAAACTCGCGGGTGCTGGCAGATCGGGAAGAACACAGACGCACTTGCCATCGACGCACCCGTTTACCTTAGGCTTACTACAAACGACGCCGGGAGCGCACTTGTCAGCAGTCTCCTCGGTGCAGACGAAGGTCGTTGGAATGGCAGTGGGTGCCACTGTGCCGCTGCCTGTGGGTGTTGCTGTTGCTGATGGATTGCGCGTTGAGCCTGCAGAAGCTGTTGGAGAAGTGCCGGGAACACATTGACCAGTCAAAGCCGCATCCTCCTGTCGCCGAAGTCGGAATATGTTGGTGGTGCCTGCGATGTACGGACAAAATCCTTCGCGCTCCAGGCTCTCGATAGTCGCGCCATTCCAGATTCCCAATACGCCGTTGTTGTCCTCATTCTGTCGCACCCAGCCGTTGTTAATGATGTACCTCTTGAGACCAGCTGGACTCATATCAGGCGGGTTTCCCTTTGCGTCAGGACCTAGACGTCCAAGCTGGTGCAATTTGAGGAAGTAGGCTGCAAGTCCGGCCGTGTACGCAGTTGCTGTAGGTGTCTTTTCAGCCATCCGTTAGGTCATCTTTACTCAGACTTGTACTCACCATCCGAAGTCCCCTGGGAGAATTTGTAAAAGCTCTTCTTGTCGCCGGTCTGCCTCCTCTGCGTGGGCTTGTCGTTGTCCTCAGCTCTACCGGGCCAGGCGGCTTTGTTTCCCTCGGCAACAATAAGCTTTTCCCCAGGCGCATAAATATGAGGCACACCAGCTGTCCCTAACCCCGACTTCCACCATCTACTTCCGTCACTTATATCAGCTGCCCCCACAACCAATAACTCTGGGATCGAGAGGGAGTAATCCTTCTGGTGTTCGGGTGCAAATTCAGCGGGCAAGGTATTCAACTAAATCGTCAAGTTGTTAGAAATTGATTTGGCGCTCCAGAGTGGGGATACTAACCACAAAAGCGTTGCCAGAACCAGTGACAATGAAAACTCCTTTGGCGATGAGACTGGTGAGAATCCGGTGCATGCGGAGCCTGAACCGGGCCCATTGTTCAAAGGCCTCCTTCTCAGCATCTTGTACCTTTTCCTTGTTCTTCTTTACCCAATCTCTCCGAAAATCCTCAGACTGATGGCCCTGTGCCATGCAGAGAATTGCTCTCGTAGTACCGCTTTTATCTGGAATGGCATCATCAACAGCAGACAAGGCACTTAACCACTGCTCCGGACTGGCACCACCTCCTTTCTTTTGACGTCGTGGGACGCGTACCATAATAGGCTTCACCTTCTTCGCAATTCCAATGTTTGCTCCAGCAATAATGCTCAACATCGCCGTGCCGTGCGCTTTACAATGCACCGGTGAGGCACACTCGCCATTCTGTTGAATATTCGAATCATCTCGGTTTTGCTGACCATCAATGTCTTCGCCGACGAAAATGAATTCAGTCTTAGAAGCTATGTTATCCCTCAAAGTGAATTCCTGGTCATTAAGTTAGCGCAGCTTGAAAATGCTGGCATACAAAGGTGCTAAGCTCACAATGTGGTCCATCTGAGCCCCAGTGTCAACGATGTAGACAGGAATATCTTCTCCAGCACTGATGTCGAAATAATAGTGTTCATTGTATCTCTTGTTGTCCGATCCCTTGTTTGCCGAGATGTACGCCATCTGTTTCATGTGGTTTGTTGCGTAAATTTGCTCATCAAGGTATTGGCTTTGGTATCGCCAGGATATCTTCGAATCCTGCATCGTCGGGTCTGAACACTCTGATGTACATTCTCGATAAACAGATGCAACCTGGTAACATATCCTGGTTAGTGAAACTTCACTTGTGGTGCAGTTCCGACTTACGTTTGCAATGTGCCTGACTTCATCTGCCTGATCCGAATCCATGAGCACTCGCCAGAAGTTGACACCCAAATCTTTAGTATCCGAGGCTACAATCTCAGCATCGGAAGAAAGGATACGCTGTATTTCGATGAGAATTGTTGAGGTATCGTCAGTTCTAGTGCCATCCTGCGGCCAAACAATGTATTTGTCCGTCATAGGGCACGCAGGAGCTGCGCCTTCAATCGCCTGCCTTCTCTGGCCTCCGGTTGGCACCGGGGTGCAGGACACCGTCGTCGTAGTGGCTGTGACATCGCAGCCTGTTTTGGGAAGTCCTGTTTTCGTCAAGCAAGCCGTCGTCCCGCTTCCACTACAAGTGACAACGATGTCGGTGGCAGTTGCAGTCTCACATTCCGCGGTCTTCGTAATGGTTGCTTCATGAGTGGAATCTGCAACGAGACAACCGCGCATTTCGGCACAGGTAGAAGTAGGTGCTCCAGTCGTCAAGGTTCTCAGTTGTCCTTCTATGGTCGACACGACTACTGGCGTTGCTGTAGCGCAGAGGGACGCTGTCTTTGTCTCGCACTTGGTGGGCTCAGGCTCCGAAGGAAATGTAGGGACATGGTCCTGACCAACACTAGTGGATGAAGTGATCCTGTTAGACTTTGAAGCTTCAACCGTTGTATAAGGGATCCGCAAGACTTACGTGAATTTGGGCCATGGCGGCAACTCTCCATGAATCACAATCGATTGGGGAAGCTTGATTATCTGATCAAGCTTCAAATTCCTAGTATCCAGTTAGAACCATTGCGTAAACGGAATGAAGGCTTGTTCTTACGGAGGATATATTCCAGGTGGCAATATCACCTTCCACCCGAGAATGTTGATGTCGTCAAAGCGAATGCAAATCTGTCAAAATGTCAAACTTGGTCAAAAGATGCATCGTTATCCAACCTACCGAGAAGAACCATAGGTCACACGGAATGACAGAGCTCTCTTCGTCTTCTGAGGGCTCCGGCTTCTTCACACTAATTTCGACGGGCGTTATGAGAGCTTGTGGGGGCCATGTTGTGAAGGTGGCAAAATCCGCAGTAGACGATGTTCCAGTGGGCGATGGCTCTTCGGATGGCTCGACTATAGTGATGGTCGGTGGGCCTCCAGACACGAGAGTGATGGTCCGGCCTTTCGTAGTTATGGTGCTGTCGAGGGTTACCCGCGGGAGATGCAAGGTTTCCGTCCCTATGATGGCAATGACAGATTCTGTCGAATTCGCTCCTGGTTTTGTCGGCAACAAAGATGGCTGTATTGAAAAAGACGGGTTGATGGCGGGGCCCGTAGTCTCGGGGGGCATTGAAGCTGTTGATTGTGGTGCCGTAGGTGCATGAGTTGTATGGGAGGTATTTGGCGAGGTTGGAGTTGTGGTTCCATCAGAAGATCTTGATACAGAAGTGTCACTGGGAGATGTTGGCGGTAAGAGGGTAAAGGTTGAGTCCAAGGTAACCATTGTCGTCGCTTCTGAGACTGGGGGTAGGGTAGCGGTTTCGGATCCAATGACAACAATAGTTGGGTACTGTGTGAAGCCTCCCTCATCTGGGGGTGCAATAGTGAAAGTGTGATCTATAGTAGTGAAAGTTGTCGATGAGATAATCTCAGGGAGTGTCAAGGTCTCCGTCCCGATCACAACCACAGGCCCAGCTTTCGAAGTAACATCGGGCGTCTCTGTAGATGCCAGCGAGTTGGGTGGAGATCCCGCGGTCTCAGCGGTACTTTCGTAGGTTGTACCAGGCGATGGGAGCGTTCCACTGCCAAGTTCGGTCTGGGTGGTATAGGAAGCTTCGCTGCTGACCGTAGCCGAGGGCATCGTCCATTCCGTAGGAGGACTTGAGTAAATGGTTCTCATAGTGCTCGGCTGTGTCTCCGAGGAGATGAGAGTGGATCCGGCAGCGTCGCTTGGTCCTGCTGGAGAATGCGGAGGACTACCTACGTCGGTGGTGAAAGGACTGTCTTGGGAGGGAAGTCCGACGGTTGTGGAGGTTTGATACTGCTCGCCAGAGTCATCGGGATTTGGCATGGGGGGGATGATCTGGCCATCGGGCCCAGTGCAGCTGAAGTCGGCATTGCAGGTGAAGGTACTGTCAGGACAGCAGCCGAATCCACAGCAAATTGTACCTGTAACAGCTTTAGTTTGGCTCGATTCGATGTTGACAGGAGATGGTGCACACCTGGGCCGCAGAGATTATGCTTTGAGCTGGGAGTCTCGCAACAAGTATCCCTGTCTGTACCGCAGCGGTCCTGACACCAGTACTGTCCTTTGGCGCATTCCTGCGACGCAACGACAGCAGCAGTGAGAGATACTGCTAGATAGTAGAAAATGAGTGTTCGGCCTTGACTTCGTAACATGTCGAAGCCTGACAGAAGCGATAGCAAGTGTAGAAGAGTTCGTGTTGATGATGAAGCAATTTTATGAGGGTATGGGAAAAGTCTTTGCAATGTTTGACTGGGTGTTCTATTTCCTCGAAGAAAATGAAGGACTTCGGGATCTTATAAATCAAGACCGGACACTCATCCAGAACATCATCTCCAAAGGCGGCGTATCTAGCCCTGTTGAGCTTCCCGGCCATGATTCTGAAATTGGCCCAAGCACAAGACACATGTCAGGCGATGGCCTTGTCGTATCTGTACGCAAACAAATACACCTTGGGGGCATATCACAGGCATGAAGGTACAGCCCGCCCCCAGACCTGGCGCCAGAAGCTGGCTGTTGGTTTGGACAACGCAAAAATAGTTGCGCGCATGCTCATGGGGGCGGGGCCATGCAATGCAAGGTCACAGCTTTGTAAAATACTTCCAAGAAGATGCCGAAAGACTTGAAATGAGAAAGTGCATCGGCTAGGGAATAGGAGATTGTGTGCATCGAAACGCAGAGTGAGGAGGGGTCGGCGTCCTCGTGGAACCTTGGAGAAGAAAACGGGGTGCCATACTGCCGAACAGCTTGGCCGTCATTGAGTACTATACCATACGGAAAATATGGGATCCTGTGGCAAATACAAGACTTATTCTGAGTAATCTGCCTCTGAGTTACGCGCTTGGCGGTGATCGCCCTGCGACTCAGAATGTACAGATCCCGCATCGACCACAAGCCTTTGCTGGCAGATACTAGCTAAATTCCTATCGCACATTTTGAGGCCTTGTACATAACGTGACAAGTGATGATTCTGAGGAATCACCACTCATCGTCCATTCCTGTACGCATAATCTAAGTCCTCATCGGTCGTCTCAGTCTACGGGGTAATGGGAGGCCAATTTCATCACCAGGATATTGAGGGAACCAGTTCGTTCTCTCCACTAGACGAACCTGGTCATTGTTAATTAAACGTCCATTTCCGCAAAGCTTTCCATGATTAATACCTCTAGCATGTCCTGCACCTTTGGGATTTCATCTTCACGAAGTTCGGCGCGCCAGTACACAATTCCGGACGGACGATCGGTGCGGTATTTTGCCTCAACTCGGGAGCTACAGCCAGCAATCGCGAGAAGCTTCTCGAAGCCTCGTCTGGCTGTTCCATGGTCATACCAACAATCATCCGTGCCCCAGACAATATACTGCTTTCGTGTGGGGTCTTCACGTTCTGGCACTAAGTCCCAATTGTCAGACTTGAAAGCTCTCGGAATTGCAATGTTAAGAGGGGCGTACGTTGAGGGCGATCATGGACTGGGCAAAGGTCCCGGTCTAAACAACCCGAAGTCTGGCCAGAATTAGCCCACGCATCTTCAGTCCGAAATCCTTGATAATACCTCCGGCCAGAGAAGAACTTCGTGGAACTGTTCCTTGGTAAGCGGAACCTGCCACCAATCCAGTCCTAGATCCTTTGTTTCAGAAGTTTTGATCTCCGATGCATCGCCAATCAGTGCGAGAAACTTGTCAAAAGCACGTGCATTGCTTTCCAGATCGAGACCGACTGCAGCGGGCGCTATCTTGTATCGCTGTCGATCGTCGCAAATGCATCTCCAGACTTTCTCAATGTAAGGCTCGACTTCGGAATCTGACTCGGAGAGGGACGGGGACGAGGCTCTCAAGATCGCAGGTGATAGAGGTGGTTCGGGATCTAGGAAACTTTGACTGTTGTTTCTTTGTCGAAGCTTGCCCCTGCGGGTGCTTCCCGACGATGAAGACGTTGTGCTGCTGCACGTGTTCGTAGGAATTGGATCGCCACGTTTCTCTTCCAGTGTAGCTGTGTCATAAATCAGTTGTGTTCGACGAAGAGCACGGTGCCGTCCGACACTCACCCACAGCGTTTGTCAGATACCCAACACAGTCTCTTACTCTTCTCCTCAAGTTTCCAATAAGATTCATGGCTGGAGAGCCTTTCCAGCATAGCTCGACCAGCGTTGCAAGAGTATGTCACAGTGTTGAAGCGGCGTGGGAGTGGCGTGATGTTATGTCAGGGACGTAACAAGGGCTCCAGACGCACCCTCGACTATGAGTAGAAATTGGGCAGGAAACTGCCGTCGCAGCAGAAGAATGATCTGGCGCACCAAGACCTGCGAGAAGGCTCTTCTAGCTATTACTTACTTGGCAAAGGTACCTAAGGAAGTATTTGTGGTACGTTCCGAAAAGTCATCAACATCGCGGGGAAGACTCGCATGTCGTTCGTCGTAGCCGCTGGCCCCTTTGTCCCTCCAATGACTCCGCTGCATTCTCGCCCCCAACACCTCCTTCCTTCTCCGCAGCGGCCGAAACAACGGGATGCGGTGCCGGTGCCCTTTGTTTGTTGGTGTCGGCTCCTGCGCACCAACAGCTATTGTTCACCGCCAATCAACTTTCGGGATATTCTCCTAATTGACCGCTGCTTTCCGTGTGTCATTCCTATCAGCCCCCACTTCCGCACCCTCGAGGACTCTTTCGAGATTGTTTGTCACTTGACGATCAAGAATCCCGAACCACTTGCGAGCACCACCTCGATCTGCTCAACACATGCAGCTAATCAGGAAGAGGTCCAACAGCCCGTAACCGCCCTGCCCCCAAGGTCGCAGCAGTCTTTCTTCGGGCTTCTCTACCCTTCTTGGGGTCTGATGCGTTTTCCTCCGTCTTGCCGCTTGCGTATCATCAACTTCGCTACCGGTGCACGCTCAGTGCCTGCAGGTTGTAACACATGTTGCTCAGCCCTCGACTCCTCCCACATGACCCATCGGACTTCCGCGTCGCTTCACAAGCAGAACGTAGAAAGTAGAGGCAGTGGATACCTCTTATTTGTCTGATACTGTCGTGCTAGCTCTGTCTCGAGCGGCCGATCGTCCTTCCGCCGACCAAATTCACGTCCCTTGTCATCTACCGAGGCTGGGATGGTTTTACTGCCCTTTTGCCCCTGTTGGGTATGGGAATTCCGACATCTGGGAAATCAAAACTCAGATTTGCGAGCTCTAATTCACGAATCTGGCCACGTTTAGACATTACACATGATCTGAACCGCGGACTGAAAGCTGGGAGCACGTACTTCTGGTATGCATTCCACTGCGTCAATTAGTTCATTCAGGATCAGCATAATATTCCCGGTGGACGAGCTGCAATCTTGCTGCAATATGTAGCCTTTATACGCGAGGAGTGGCCTACAACGTCGAGGTGCTTTCTGGCCCCTCGCATGGCCACATCATTATCATTCCAGCATTCGTCTGTTCCCCACGCGATGTACTTTTGACGCGCCGGTATGCAAGAGCCTTGCATCAATGTTACGATCATTCTTGGAGTCCTGCATTGAGCGATGTACACACCTTCATTGCGCGCCGGGCATTCTTGTGGGGTTCCTACGGGCGGAAGGATCTCGTGAAGATTAGCTCTACGCATTTTGACTTTAAGCAGTATTCCCTACCTCTGGCCAACTCGACACTTGTTTAACCTCTTTCTCGGTTAGTCTTACGCACAGGTTTATGACACCGAGGTCCCTTGAGTCAAAAACGTCAACACGCGAGGAGCCGCAACAGATTGAGATGAGCTTGTCGTATGTCCGCTGGTTCAGGTGCTTGTCAAGATCATCCGTTGCTGGCCACAGAACGTGATACTTGCTCTCTGGGTGACATGTACATATCCAGACGATAGATCTCTGGTTCAGATGGGATAGTCCGGGCGGCGACAATTCTCCTTTCGGATGGGTTACCATTGCGGTACACGCTGTGTCGTGGTCGATTTCCTTGAGAGCAGAACCGCGTAGTCTGGCTAAAGAACCAGACTGTTCATCGATAGCTTTGAGTTTGTGGGGCTGAGCTCTCCCTTTACGTCGGGGTTTCGGTATTCGGTTTGAGGTACTGAAGTTGCTTCAACAGATACATTCGTGCGGAAAATAGCATCAGCGAAGGGAGGTTTCAGACCTACCTATGACATTTTCCAAGTACCGCATTCTATTTCTGATGTTTCTCTCCAGCTTGCTAACGTACATTGTCTCTCAAGCTTTTGCTTCGAAGCTGCGTTTGGGTTGGAGAGCGATGTGACAAATTGGGCTACCTTCGCCAATTATCTTCCGCGCGGGGCTCGTGAGTAATCTATGCGGAGACTCGTTGTACTAAGTCCTGAACACAGGCCAGCAGCCAAGGGTTCTGATGATGTTGTAGCTGCAGGTTGCTGTTTTTGACGCGGGGGCTGCTTGAATGATGTTGGCTGCAGCTGCCCAAGAATCGTCTGCTGAACGAGTTCTGGCCCCCCAAGCGTGCCTCGCCTGCTGTCGCGCTACCAGCACCCATGAACATCCAATCAACTTGGCTGTGTGTGTGGTCGATCTACATCTAAGCCGCGTGATTAAATACTGGCGAGCACCAACAGACGCCAATGCTGCGGGTTTCATTCCGTACTTGACCCGCCCCGTCAAGACACGGAGTAGCACCCTCTTTTGGTCTAGCCGCATCCAAGTTTTCCAGCCTGGCATTTAGATTATCACAAACATCCAAGAAAGACAAAGCGCCGTGTTGAATCCCAGTGTTTGCACGCCATAACAGACAGAGGTTTCTCGTTCCTCAAGGCTCCAGTAGCGAACATTGATGACGGGCAGGGATTTATGCCTATGGTACCACCGCACCCACCCGGCAGCGAACTTCAAAATGGAAGAGGGTAAGTATTGAGGAAATCATTATTGGTGTACCCAGCTACTTAGCCGATGGATAGACAGAATCTTGCGGGGCAATGCGAAGCCACTACTCAATCCACCATTGAGGCCAGCTGTTGACGTTTCCCAGTTCATCACACCTTCACCTTAGCCCAACACCCCTGACGAGAGCTCTCACACTTTTTGAAGGAAGGATATGATATAGCGTAAAATGAAGTCCACTGCTTCTATTTTCTGATCCGTGATTCTCTGGGTTCTTTATTATTGTTATCCATGTCGCTGAGACGTAAATGATTTCAGTAACAGCCTCATTTGCGAATTGTGGGAGACCTATCTACAGCTTCCCTCGGACCCCGCACTATGTTCATGCGGGGCCCCTCCTGAACTCCAGCTAGCATGAGGAAGCCATTATCGGCTGATCTCTTGCTTTTTGGGTTTTGGTCTCCAAATCAATTGGGCTCGAAGTACAAGCCGGCATGTGACGGAGTATAAACACTCTCCGAGGGCATCCCTCACCCTCTGACCTGCCGTGCACTTTTCAACTCTCACAGAGCCACACACCTGCTCGATCCAGACGCGAGGCTAGTCCCATTGATTATGGAATCATTCTCCTCGACAGCTTTGTTATACTGGCCAAGAAACTGGCCAGATCGCGAGACCTTGGACCTCCAGTCACTCATTTGTACAGTCTGGCCTCAATATCTCACTCTTCAAGAGGCCTGTGGCATACTTGACCAGTTCCACGGGCCGGTCTGGAAGCTTGACAAGCAGGTTCTTTGGACAGGTTTAGGTCAAAAGTACACCCTGGTTGATTCTTACGCACGAGAACATGGCATGCAGACTTTGCGAATTGCTATGGGACCTTTGATGGATCCGCAAAATCCCGCCTGTCTCAAAAGTCAGAAGTCAACCAAAGAATGGGGGAGATACATCAGGGGCGCCTCACTCATCTTCTCCTGGCGTATATCACAAGGAGATGTCGCTACTGTACTGACGCAGCCCCCGCCAACCCGCTTCAATCCACATGGACGAACAGCCTACCAGGAAATTGAGGAGCCCGTTCTCAAGGGCATTCTTGGAAATCGACCTGTTGATCGAATCCTGGCAGTACATCCAACAATCGACATCGCTCAAACGTTTCCACCATATGAGATATTTCCACAGGATCATCAGGACATCTGGAAGGATGTTTTCGGGGGTGTCAAGTGCCCCAAGCATACCTGGAGGGGTGTTGATAGGAGCATACGTACGGGTTCACCTATCCAAAAGCCTCATACCTGAAAGACTTCCTGATTAGTAGGCAGCTTTACCACAGTGGGCTACCACGTCAGCGGCCTATGGGTTTCTCGGCAACGAAAATCCTAAGTCTCGCTCTGTAGAAATATTTCTCTGCGGGTTTTTGATTTGCGCTGGCATATCCTCGCAATTGTCGTTGGTCATTCTGATAATTTCTTCTCTTCTAGTGGTTCAAGGAACGGTTGGAATTCCTTCGATCTCCATGCATTTTACCGAAATCGAACCGGAAGAGTGTAGTGATCTCAAATTGGCGATTCCATTCACCGACAGCATCATCACCAAGGGCTCGATTGAAAACCTCAAAGCTTTGGAGACCAATAAGAATAGGCTGGAGGCTCTGGTTTCCCCGAAGGCAGCAGTGGGAGCAGATCCACCCAAGTCCTCCGACAGGGAAGAAATAGCAAAGCTGGTCAATCCTGCGAAGGTACCCAAAATGAAGGATACTGCTGAGCAAGCTTTATCATCTCCCACGACTTTGGAGCCTCGACCATCACCGGTCGAGCCCATTACGCTGCCAGTGAATCAGTCTAGCGTCCAAAGGAAGGGAGAAGTAAAAACGACTTTAAAGAAATTGTCCAAGTGCAAAGCAGCGGGAGCCACCGAGGTAACACCCGAATCGTCAACACAAGGACAGAACGTTCAAACCCCTAATGAGCCCGGAGCTGAGCCCCACAAGAAGAGGAAGAAGAAGAAGAAGACAAAGAAGGATATGGACGGTGGAGAGAACCTGGTTGCAAAAGGGAAACCGAAGAAGTCGCACAAGAGAACGGAAGAGGAGAATGTCGACTGTAAGGGGAAAGCCAAGTCTCAAGCTCTTCCAGACACCAATCTGTCTACTGTTCCAGAAAAGCCGGTGGCTGAAGGAACCAAGAAGATTAAGAAGAATAATAAGGTAACACCTACAAAGGTGAAGGGCATAGCCTTAACAACAAAAATATCTTCCAAGGGGAAAGAGGCGGAGAAGAGCAAGGAAAGTGAAAACCAGCCGGGAAAATCAACCAGACCTCGTACTTCGGCGAAATGAACTGCGGTCTAATGAACTGCGGGAATTCGCTTCAACTTTCACCAAGACTTCAGATGCCATTCTTTTCCATGCATCTTCTAACGGCACGTCAAGTTCTAGTGGGCCAATGACAATCTGTATTTGGAAAGCGTTCCGAGCCCTGGTTGAAGTGATCCCGCTTACTCAGCTGCTCCCATGGATTGGTTATATGAGTAGTCGCAACTTGCCGATGTCCAACCATCATGAATCTGACGACTCGCATTAGATCCCAGACCAAGATCGTACCTACAAAAAAGTTGCGAGGCAATCTTGTTACTCGTGGCTTCCGGGGTTCCTACTAATCAATGCTTCAGAGTAGTCCCTGTCCTGATTGGGCGGCTGGTGGGTGGAGCGGAGTGCGTGGCAGAGCGGTTTCAGGAAAGAAGATAAAGTTGCTTTGAGCCGCAACCCAGCGCATTGCTGCGTCGACTCGCCATTTCATTGAACTTCTCAAGCTCTTCATACTCACTCGTTGTTTCTTTCTTCTGTGCTGTTTGATCCACGTTCGTGATGTTCCCTAGCTCGTAACAACTAGGGGTATCATGTCCTCTTCCACTTGATTGTTTGCTGCTTGATTTTCAGTCACGTCTGTGCTCCCTGTAGTCTGAAGAGTAGGTATTTAAGTACAGTCTACTTTAATCTTGATGCGATTAAGCTTTCCTTATGCAATAGGGACATCCTGGCTTGGGCGTTGGCGAGCAAGATGGGATGAAGCGGATTTGAGCTGGTGTTTGTCCATACTTTAGTTTCAACAGCAGCGTTTCAAGATGAGCACGCCAAGTTAAACGTTACTCTAGGGCGCTCTTTACGGCGCTCTCGGGAAACCATGCCAATTCGAGTCGTAACCCGAAGTCTCTACCGCGGCGCTTTTTTGTAACATCATCCCCATCCCGATGTTCTCTACCGTGTCCACAACATCTTTTCCTCTGATTCGAAGTACAGACGGCTTGTGCAACGCACAATACCTGTAGCAAGGACACAACGTGGGACTCGATACATGCGCTTGCAACATGAGGGCCACTATCTGGTGGACACTTGTTCACGCCGTTCTGGCGATCGCGGGCCTTCTACCCCGACGCACATTCAGCTTCTTGAACGATGATACATTCGCGATCGAAGACTCTGGGAAGGCATTCGTGGCCAGCAGCGGCCCTGAGAGCGCATGTGCAATGGTGCAGCCGGCGGTGGACAGGTTTCTACAAGACAAGCCGAAAGGTACGTCAATTTACAGACCCTGCTGTCCCTATTCATTCAAGATCGTTACAAGCAGAAAAAGGGACTAGTGCCTCAAATTCTGCTGAGGCCATTGCTGATACTCATCAACAGCTCTCCCAAGAGTGCCAGCAAAGCTTGCCTTCGACTGTTTGCAATCTGTTCCCAATAAGCCCGATCCTGCCAAAGAACTGCTCAAAAGCTTGAAGACTTATGTGCAGCTTCAAAGCACACTTCCTTTTCTTAAAAACCCCCCGGCTTCGTACAAACTTCCAGCAGTCGATATTGAAGGCGGTTTCCAGTCCATTGGAGATAAGGTAGCCAACAACAAGTACCAGAGCGAATATGACTTCCAATTGGACATTCTCGACCTGATCTCATCGGCTCACGACGGCCACTTTGTCTTCCGGGGCGATATGTTCAAAACCTTCAGTTTTCGCAATGGTCTCGTCATTGACGTGGTCTCAATATCTCGCGACGGGGTCGAGGTTCCCAAGTTGTACCATCTTAGTACGTCACAACTCTCTAGCGAACCATGTCTTTACTAACAAGCCCCAGAGCAACTTCGTCAGAACGCATCCGCACCAGCCATTACTAAGATCAATGGAAAAGATGCGAACGTCTTTATCTCAGACCTGAATCTCAAGTACAGCGGTCTTCAAGATCCAGATTCCCAATGGAATTCCCAGTTCAATTCATACGCAACCAAGCAGAATTCCATGATCCTAGCCGCCTCGCCCATTTTTCAAGGCCCGATGCTCACTCTGACGTATGAAAATGGCGAGGAGCGCTCTGAAGAAAGTGTAGCTGTTATCCGTCCGGGCACCAACTTCACCGACATAAAGAACGGCGAGGACTACTACAACAAATTCTGCAATCCTGTCATGGTCTCCACGAACGTACTGTCCGAGGCATCGAACATAAGGACGCAATCAAGAGCCAAGAGCCCAATGGCGCTGTCACCTATGGTCACGCCTATAGATGGCTATCCGGTTCCTGAAGTTCGGGACAAGGGCATCAACGCGACTGCAGGGTATTTTTTGAACGGTACTGGATACGATGACGTTGCTGTACTAGCTGTATCTTCCTTTGCGCCGCCAGAGACGGTAGACAGCTTTGCATACCTGAATGACTTTCAACAAACGGTTGAGAAATTCCTGGCCGCCAGTCAAAAGGCCGGGAAAAAGAAACTTGTCATCGACGTCACTGCCAACGGCGGCGGCTTCATTCTTGCTGGATTCGATTTATTCGCCCAAGTAAGTGTTATAGATTCACCCAACTTGCACTGCTGACTTTTTCGGTAGCTCTTCCCTACTGTTAGTCACTTTCAGGCAAACAATTTGCGCCTTCCACCCAGTGTCAATACTCTGGCACGGCTCGCTGCTGCTATTCCTGCGGACTTCAAACCCAAGACCCCCGAAGAAAATAAGGCTCTGGGCAACCTGCGCGGGAGTCCTATTCTCAGCAATCTCCTCCCAAAAGGCGTGTTCACACCGGACCGCGTAGCCTTCACTTCTTTGGAGCAGGTTCTGCGTCCTGTTGTATTAAACGGCGACAACTTTTCCGCCTACCAGCAGATCCCGATGGATCAACCAGATCCTCTATTTAACCTCACTGGAACCGGCCCCCGGACTAACCCGCCTGCGAGTGTATTCACCCCGGAAAACATCGTCCTACTCACAGACGGCACATGTGCATCTACATGTACCATTTTCTCATATCTCCTCATCCTCCAGATGGGCGTGAAGACTGCGGTGATGGGTGGCCGCCCCCAGACTGGGATAATGCAATCAATCGCGGGCGTCGAAGGTGCTCAGCTCTTTTCATACAACGACATAACAATTGACGCAACGTCAGCTCTACTGTTGGCACCCGAGAACCAGAAAGCCGAGCTACAAAACGGCGATCTTGGTGAGCTAGCTAAAGCATACGCCATAAAACGCGCCGCGAACCCCAAAGCCGCCGGCGCCGTGAATGGTAAAAACGCTTTCGCCATGTCCAACGCCACGGTACCGCTGCAATTCCTCTGGGAGCCTGCGAACTGCCGGTTGTTTTACACGTATGAGACACTTACCCAGCCAGAGGCTGCCTGGAAACGTGTCGTCGATGTGACGTTCAACAATCGCCCGCAGCTGTGTGTCGCAGACAGCATTGTGCCGGCTGCCAAGCCGGCTACAGTGGACCCCTTTTTCCAGCAGAGCGCGAAGGATTTAGGCCTCAGCAAAGGTGGATAGACTGGAGAACGTGCTTGGGACAATATTGAGGCCATCACATAGATCGAGTTCGTGGGACTGAGATTGTATAGCAGTTGATAGTAGAGCCACATAATGGTGTGAAGTTGAGTCTTGGCGTCATGCTGCAAGAGGCAATCGTAAGGGAGCCGGCGGTCAAATGTCGTCGCGAAATGCAAAGCGATCTTACACAATCTCTCAAGATTATCTTGATGTAGAAACGCTCACGCGTGAGTCGTCTGCAAGCTCGTGAGCTTCAAGGACTGAGGTAAGGAAGCCACGTTTGTACCGCTCGCCATCCCAAAGCTAGGACCTAGAGGGCTCTAATGAGGTCGAGATTTCTTCCATTTCATCAATACAAAAACTGGTTGATCTACTTCTAACGAAACACGGGACGTCGTTGACGCGAAATACACCCAGAATCCGCCTGGCTCCGTGTAGAAATGATGATTAGGAGGCGTATGATGAGTCCGTAACATAGCATGTAATGGTTGCTGAGGGCATCGCCTTGTCTGAGAAATATTTGCTATTATCGAGGTCCTCACGATGCAACCTTTCCCGCTGTAGATGATCCGCTGGGAAGAGCGCTGAAAAAGTGGCGGTGATACTTCACAAACCAGTCACACTTGCGAGAGCGATTTGCATGATGTTACATGCATCAGGTCTTAGTTGCCTGTAAAGAGCAGACGAGGCTGTTGCCAAGGGCTTCTACAGGCTTTGGACCTGTCTCTGGACATGTTGTTTTACTTTTGATGCATTCATCCTTCTAATAGGGAAAGCGCATCTGCATGTCATGATTTGTAAAGCTGTGCCAGCCAATAAGACTAGTCTCATTCATCTCACATCCTGCGCGTGTTCGTATCTTGCCCACTTCCGTGCAGACTGTATCACCAGGGCCAATCGCTAGAGTGGGTATTCACATGAAAAATATTGAAATCTGCATATGTTGTTCGACAATAGTCGTGGCACGAGCGGGTGTATAAAATATCATAGCTTAGTCGACAGTTCCTCAACTCTCTCACATTCCTTCCATTCCTCTTCCATCCACTCTTGGCAACCGCCATTCCCTCCCAAGATATCATGGAAAGCGAAAAAGTCAGATTGGAATATCTACTATCCGATGAGGCTTCTTTTATTGAAGAAGCATGGGATGAAATAAGCGGTATAAACAAAACGTAAATGCACTCGATTCAAGCCTTGACGTCGGGCATTTTCATTTATTCGAGCTGATACAAGGATCTACTCACAGATATGTATACGGAATGAAACTCTCTCCGAAGCACAAAGCAGAAGGTGCACAAGTTTCAGAGCATTTCGGACGCCCGGTCATCCTTGATCTAGACAAGGACAGCACAGCAGATCTGCTTCGGAAGAGTCATGGGTGGATACACATACCTGCGAACGACAAAGTGGTTGCAGAGGTTGCTTCGCACCACCCGTAGTCTGACTGATAGCATATGGATGACTGACAAGCGCCCAACAGAAATGCATTAGACTGATTGCGGGAGACGACGAAGCTCAATACTTCTGCCGGAAATG